AGAAACCATTACTTTTTGTAATAAAACAAAGTTTGGTGTGGACGTCGTTGATCAGATGACACGCAAATATAGTGTGAAAGCAGGGAATTTCCGATGGCCCCTTCAAGTTTTTCTCAACATTTTATATTTAGCAGCGATAAACGCGTGAATATTATATAAAGAGTGCACCGGATCGAAAATATCCAGAAAAGAATTCATATTTTGTTTAATCAAGAAATTATATGAATAAGATATTTGTCATAGATCAGACGTTTCATTTCTATCACCTTCAACGTTAGAAATGCAAAAAAGTTGCCAAGTGGGCTACTGTAAAAAAAATAGAAGCAATAATTATTGTATATATTCCAAAAAGATCGTATGCGGAAAATGCACATACAAAATTCAGTATATTTGTAAAAAATGTGCTCAATAAATATGATTACTCTATACCGTTAATATTATTGTTATCATTTCCGTGATTATTAAAAACAAAAGGCTTTTTACTTATTAATAATTTATTTAAATGTGAAGCCTAATACTGTTCAATTCAGACTTAACTTGAATATATCAGTTTTTTAAAGAAAATGAGTATTTTCGTTTACCCGTCAAATTGACGGGTGCTCGTAGAGATAGGTATATAAAAAACACTAGTAAACCCAGTATTTACGATGATTTTCGTGGAAAGTCTAAAATCTAAAAGGAATACTTTCTTTAAATATAATAATTAAAAAAAGAAAACTATATTGATCGAATATCATGAAACATTAAATTAAATCTGGGTGTTCCAAATATATTCTAAATTTCAAAAAAATTATCCGATAATAAATATCCTATATTACAATCGGTTTCGTTTATTATTTTGGGAAAAATTAGTAAGACTGTTGTAAAAGCTAATACTCCCAAAATAGCAATCTAAATGGAATGAGAAAAAGTCTAAAGAAAGAATAACATTTTTTTATTTTTTTTTTGTTTTGTTTTAATTCATATAATAAAAGAACGTACAACAAAGAAATAGAGAAAAATGACGAATTAGAAATTATGCGTACCAGAAAATAAGATGACCATTTAATCTCGAATTTCTTTGGTTCTTTAATGTATAAACAGTTATGTGATAGCAAAAAAGGAAACATGAAATCAAAGACATTTAATTAGGCACTGGTCATAGAAAATTCTGAAAAGGAAATGTCAGCCTATCCAGCATATTCGTAATTCTTTGATTACTTCGGACCAATTATTTTTTTTTGAATTCCACATTCCATACTCTTCTGCTTCCGAGACAATATCAAAACTAAAATTGAAAGTCACGAAGTTCTTTTAACTTTCTATCGAATATGCCGTCCAATTAATCATTCTCGTTTGAGTTTATGAATGATGAATCCTACATTGAAGAAAGAGAAATAATCAAGAATTAAACATATACGAATCTTATTTTAAATTGAAGATAGAGAAAAGAAATATATTAGAACGAAAAAAACTTTACCTTAATTATAACAGCTCTCATAATTAAACCCCGTAAATTGTATCTTCTATCGTAAAGAAAACCTGGTGCAGTATTAATAATTCCTTTCTCCAGACTCCAAGTTGCAAAATCATTGATCTCCATTCGATTCTTATAGATCGAATACAACTCTCGTAAAATATTTTCGTCACTACAACGGACTAGCATTTTTGTATTGAATTAAAATATGTTAACCATTGGACTGTGACAATAATCGGTAATAGATCCTTTGTAAATGAATAACAAAAGCCACGCAGCGTAAAGCCTGTCGAAGTTTCTGGTTGGTAGGGAGAACTGATTAATCAGATTGCAATTAGTTATAATTGCGACTTAACGCAGTAGTACGATTTGATTAAGATAGTACGATAATTTATGCAATTCTGAAAAGTACATGGTCGAAGTCATGAAACCTTTGCGAAAAAAGTGCACGTTTCCATTTGAATATCGTAGTTGCAACTTCCATTTCTGAGATAAAAGGGAAAATGAAAATAGTAAAACTAAAGAAAAGATATATATCTTTGTGTATGTATATACATATCTTACTACCTTCTATCGATTGGGCACATAAGAATATTATAGATTTTGTTCAATGTAATTTGGAAATGTCAATAATAAAATAAATGTATTCGTTGTTGTAAGAACATCATAATTCAAGCTCATAAGATTTCGCCATTTTCGAGAAAAAAAGTATAAGAATAAGTACGAGAACGAGTATCTTTAATCGCACAAGGAACGTCATTTTGTCGTTTCTTCTTTCTTTTTTATTAATATTATTATTTATTTACTATTTTTTTTAATTTAATTCAATCGAACGAACCGACGATAACCGTGGGTGCAATGATATTGGCGGATAAATTTCTTACGCCAATATCATTTTTTTTAACAAACAAAAGTACGTTCGGTTGTTCCGTATTTTTTTCGGAACGGAATGAAACCGATGGTTGTTTACATATTCATGCGAAAAATAAAAGAAGAAAACGAAAAAAGAAAACTAATGTTATATATTAGTATTGATTTATTTACGATCGATTAACGAACGTCCTTTTCATTTTTCCTTATGTTCTCTTTTCTTTTTTGGTATAACGCGTATATGTAAAAATGCGTATATTTAAAAGTAGTATATGTAAAAGTATATTTACGTATCTACATAAACACGTTTATGTTATCGTTCGGTTGATCGTAACGATTGTAAAATATAACATAATGTAAACAACATTGCAATTCCATTGAAATAATTTTAATAGACATTCTGATCGATATAGGCAAGATAACCATTTAACAAATTGATTTGCGGTCATCATGTGTTTGAACAAATATATACGAGGATCGTTTAAAACAGCTTCTCAACCTGTTATATTCATTAAACGATAAGTAATAACTTAGGTAGAAGCGAAAAATGTGATTAATTTGAAAGAGATCTCTATAATTTCCTCGCATTAAACAATCATATCTTTGAAATAATACATATCAATTTATCAATAAAAAATTTTAAAACATTTAAGCAAATGAGCTGGATTGAGCCGGACATCCGAAAGATTGAGAAATGTTGATCTAGAAAATAATGTCTTTAGATAGAGAAGCTGTATAAAACATTTGTTTACCCGAGGGTTACTTATTTATAGATTTGCTCATACGTTGACAAAAACCAGTGATTTATAATCTTAATCAGTGATTTATAAACTTATCAGTTTGTGGATACTGTGAGATGTAATTACGGTCCGCATTATAAAGCACTGTTGTTTTACTGTTGTAATGAAAAATTCATTTTGATCGCATGATATTTTTATTATATTCCTTTTAAAAATAAATTAAATGAGAAATCAAATTTTAGTTAAAAAAAAAGAAAAAAAATATTACTTACAGAGTTCTAACCTAATGGTTAGAGTTAATACTCGCGGAATACAAATGGTTTAAGAATTTAAATACGTAAATCATAATAAATTTAAAAAAATAAATATTAAATTAATTAATATTGCCATCGCTTAATGTGTTTTCAAAATGCCGACAAAATCTGAAAATCCAGACGACAATGAGATATGTTATATTTACCCTTTCCCGTTACCCATTCCCGTTATAAAAAGGTCATCGTCGACTTGCAGCTGCGTATAGAGGTTGCATACTACAAGGCACAAAAACAAACGACTCAGCCCTTCCTTCTGAAGTCGTGTTTAATCGCAAAAATGCTTCTACTCGTATGACTTCAATGATCGAAAATATTTTTGAATTACTTTAATTGAACGATACCAGAACCTCTTGTCCAAAATCCGAACTTGATTTCGAGCGACCATTATGTTTTTCCAAAATAGAATGAGTTCTCGAGATGACGTTGTTTCTCACAAAATGATGATTTAAAGCAACGATGATCACGCTAACATGCTGCAGAAGTATATGACGGACATATTGTATCAAACATAGGCGTGCGCAGGAATTATATATTGGAATGTAACTAAGTACATGTATGTATATATATGTATGTGCTAGAGTTAGAAACAAAGAGGAAACTTTTTAATATACATGTGCATTATCAAAAATATTAAAACATAGTCAATGCTTTTTTTAAGAATCTCGTATTTATATACATGTGTAAATATATATATATATATATATATATATAAATATATATATATGTATATATATATATATATATAAATATATATATATGTATATATATATATAAATATATATATGTATATATATAAGCATTACATTATAGTTATCATTGTTGAATATTACTAAAATTGATTAAAAACATATTTAAGGAAATATACGAATTTGTTTATAAGATTAAAAAAATAATATATTTCACGTAAATACATACATCGTACCTAGTTTGTGTAATGACGAAGAAATCGATATAGTTCGAAAGGATTAAAATATATACATATATGCGTGTATTCGATAAAATAAAGAAAATGCATCATAAACATGTCTGTAATTTAATTTTAAATGAAGAAATTCTATTTCTATATAAATCCACACTAAATAATGCATGCACGTGCTATTATGCTCCAATAGAAAATTACAATAAAAACATTCGTTTCGAAAGAACATTGTCGTTATCGTTAATATTTTAACCGATGACATTAGGGATTCGCGTGATAGTTTACAATATTTTTCATACATCTCTTCGCATTCAAATCAAATTCTGATGATTCGGTAGACGGAATACAGTCAACAATCAACCTTTTCTTGTTTTTACGAGCAAATATACACTTTTCTATAATTAGAATAAAAATACTCAAAATGAGTCCAATTTGAATGAAGAAAATAAGAGACATTATGCTTGTTAACGAAACTGGTTGAAGATAGTTCGGCACATCATTGAATGCTTTTTGAAATGTCCTATCTTTTAAACGCTGTACCATACCATTGTTGATAAATCTCTGCAAACTGGATCTTTGCCATTAATCAATGATAAAATGAAAATTTACAATATTTAAGGTGTACTTACTGAAAATTTATGACTCCGGTAAATGGATTGTGTTTAGATAAAATTATAGATAAATTGTCTATGATTCCTGTGTCAACGGCAATCACTTTACATGGTATTTTAAAACTTAAGCTTTTTTTTATCCGGTTATATGTGTAGATAGCTAGTTTTTGATTTTCGCAAATCTATAATTTAATAACGATTATTAATAAAGAAAATATACACGCACACATATATATATATATCAGAAAGATATTTTATTTTTTCTATAATTTAATTTATTTTTTATAATATCTCAACGTACTTTCATAAATCCTTCCGATATAGATGCTGGCAAATTTTGTTTTTTTATCATCAACTTCATTACTTTTTTTGAAACCAGATCATTTGAATTCTGCAAATAAATATCTCTTCGTATTCGTTTATAAATATATATATATATACATATATCGTTGTAAATAGTACAGCATAGATAATACGTTCAATACTCACTGCAAATATATCATAATCAGACGTACCACGAGAGACAGCTAATTGGTAAGTACCGTCTTCAGTGAAACCCTCTAATGAATTAAAGGGTAAATTATGGATACCGGACGTTAAAAAACTAATGAAAGCCGCAGAATAAGCGGACAATAAGATCAATGACATAAAAAATATTGATATATATGGTATTCTTAACGATAATCTTTCAGGAAAGACTGAAAAGCAAATATGAAAATATGTTTTCTGTATAAGTAACTACGAAAAAGAATAATAAAGACAAAAAGAATCACGAAATGTTTTATCGGACCTGGTAGTCCCTGTTGGCATAATATACCCCAAATTTCTAAAATAATATCAGACAATAAATGTCCTATATTACGATTGGTTCCATTTCCTAATTTGACAAATATTAATAAGATCGTCACAAGAACCAAGACTCCAAACATGACTATCCAAACCGAACGAGAGAAAGCCTAAAAAAAGGTAACTATTTTTTAATTCATGAAGATATAACGCAATAAAAATATATAATAACAAAAGATATTGATAATAAAAAAGATATAAAAAGAAAAAAGAAATACATAAACTGATTGTGTGCTTATCACTTGGTATTATACGATACAGAAGTGAAACTTCTTTAGTTATTTTAATTTAATTTAATTTAGTTCATCAAATTTAATGTCCTCAAATTTCAATGAAAGAAAAGAGATAGACAGATAAATATATTTCGAACAGCTATAGATAATATTAAAAATATTGAAAACAATTTATTTGTATAAACGTATTGTTTCATTCTATCTGAGATTCGGTCATTTTCTAATACGAAATGAGAAAAAAGAAAATAATTGGTAGGAAATTATCGTACTAGAAAATAAGACGACCATCCAATCGCGAATGCCCGTGGTTCTTGGATGTATAGACTGTTTCTTGAAATCAAAAGTGGAAACGTGAAATCGACGACGTTTAATCTGGCACTGGTCATAGCAAAATCTGAAATAGAAATGTCAGCACGACCAGCATGTAATTCTCCCATTGCTCCGGACCAAGTTTTTTCTTTAGGATTCCAACTTCCGTACTCTTCTACTTCGGAGACTATGTCGAAACTAAAATTGAGAGTTTCACATAATTCTCTGAATATTTTACCGAATACGCCATCCAATTTGTCGTCGTCCTTTACATTTATGAACGGTGAATCCTGTGTAATGCGAAAAGCAGTATATTGTGAATTATTCTCAAGTAGAAAAAAAGGAAAAAAATAAAAAAAAAAAAGAAAATATCTCGAACAAAAATATTTTACCTGAACTATAACAGCCTTCATGATCAAACCCTGCAAATTATATCTTCTGTCGTAAAGAGATTTCGGAACCACTTCAATGATTCCTTCCTCTAAACTCCAAGTTGCAAAATCATTGATCTCGGTTCGATTCTTATAGATCGAATACCATTCACGTAAAATATTTTCCGTGCCACAACGGACCAACATTTCCGTGTTGAATTTCAAATGGAATATGTTCCCTGGTGGATTATAACAATAATCGAAACCGCGTCCCTTGTAAATAAATAATACTAGCCAGGCAGCAAAAGTCATGTCGAATGTATTGGTCGCTAAGGAGAACTCATTGATAGCGTCGTAATTAGTTATAACAGGTACGTAATGCGGTCGTACGATTCGTTTTACGTAGGACGATGATTTGTGCAATTCTGAAAAGTACAAGATTGAAGTCTTAAAACCTTCGCGAGAAAGTGCACGCGTCCATTTGAATATCCTAGTTACAACTTCCATTTCTGAAAATAAACGAATAAATGAAAATAGTAAAATTAAAGAAAAGATATATATATATATATATTTTCCTACCTTCTATCGATTGAGCATATAAGAATATTATAGATTTCGTTCCATGTAATTTGGAAATGTCTATAATCAAAGATATATATTCGTCGTCGTAAGAAGGTCGTAAATTAAGTTGGTAAGATTTTGTCATCTTCGGGAGAAAAAGTATAAAAATAAGAACGAGAAGGAGTATCTTTAATCTCACAAGGTACATCTTTTTTTTTTCTTTTTTATTATTATTATTTTTTTTTATTTCTTCATACCTATCTATGTATTTCTCAATCGAATGAATCGTTGACAATCGCGTATGCAATGATATTAACAGAAAAACTTTTATACACTACACAGAAATACGTTGGATTGTTCCGTTTGTCGTTCGAAAAGGAATGAAGTCGGTGAATATTTAAATATTCGTGCGAAAAAAAGAAGAACAGAAAGAAAAAAGAAAAAATAACGTTAAATGTTAGTATCGATTTATTTACGATCGATTAATGAACGTCCTTTTCATTTTTCCTTGTGTTTTCTTTTTTTCTTTCATATAACGTGTACATGTATAATATGTATAAGTGTATGCATATTTAAGTATCTACGGGAATACGTTTATGTTATTATTTATTTGATTGTAATGATTGTTAAATATAACATCATGTAAACAACGTTGCAATACCATAATTTTGGCATAATTTTAATAGATTCTGTTCTTGTGGATATAAGCTGGACAACCATCTGACAAGTTGATTTGCGATCATCTAGTTTTTGAGAAAATATATATGAGGGTCATTTAAAACAGTGTTTCTCAACCTGTTATATTAGTTAAACGATAAGTATTAAGTTACGGGAAAGCGAGGATTGTTATTAATTTGTAAAAGATTTTTATAATATCCTTGCGTTTAACAATAATCGCGCATAATGGTATCATTAAAATGTAACTAAGTATGTGTATGTGTATAATTAACTATGTGTATATATGTACAGTTAGAAACAAAAGGGAAACTTTTAAATATACATGTGCATTATCGAAAATATTAAAACGTAGTCAATGCTTTTTTTAAGAATCTCGTATTTATATACATATGTATATTTATATACATGTGTAAATGTATATATATGTATATATATATATATATATTAATAATAATAATATTAAATAATATATATATATATATATATATATATATATAAGCATTACATTATAGTTATCATTGTTGAATATTACTAAAATCGATTAAAAACATATTTAAGGAAATATACGAATTTGTTTATAAGATTAAAAAAATAATATATTTCACGTAAATACATACATCGTACCTAGTTTGTGTAATGACAAAGAAGTCGATACAGTTCGAAAGGATTAAAATATATACATATATGCGTGTATTCGATAAAATAAAGAAAATGGATCATACACATGTCTGCAATTTAATTTTAAATGAAGAGATTCAAGACCATGCTAAATAATGCATGCACGTAATATAGAGAATTACAATATAAACATTCGTTTCGAACGAACATTGTCGTTATCGTTAATATTTTAACCGTTAACATTTGGTATTCGCGTGATAGTTTACAATATTTTTCATACTTCTCTTCCCATTCAAATCAAATTCTAATGATAGACGGAATGTGTTCCCTGGTGGATTATAACAATAATCGAAACCGCGTCCCTTGTAAATAAATAATACTAGCCAGGCAGCAAAAGTCATGTCGAATGTATTGGTCGCTAAGGAGAACTCATTGATAGCGTCGTAATTAGTTATAACAGGTACGTAATGCGGTCGTACGATTCGTTTTACGTAGGACGATGATTTGTGCAATTCTGAAATATTCACATTTAAGGACATAAAATCTTTGCGAGAGAGTTCACGACTGTATTTGAATACCATCGTTATTAATTTAATATCGATTTCTGATTGATAAGAAAAATTAAAGATTGTTGATTGACGAGAGCATTTTTAAAAAATTCACTTCTCGCACCAGACCAGCGATAGCAGTGGATTCGCATGAAGGAAATGTCCCCCGTCTTGTCCTTGTTGTCCGAGCTATAGAATCACTGGTCGCAAAGAATAAGGGCGCCGACACTAGGCTAGGACACCGTTGTAGGCCGTTAGCAAAATATCCCTTGCCGCGTTCCCGCAAATTAATGGGAGTACGCACGTTCTTTTAAAGGATCCCGTGAGAAATGAAGAAGTAAATGCGCGATATTAAATGATGCGTGCTATATAAATCTCACTCTGTATTTAATCAGATAAGTTACAATTGTTATGTGTCTCGTATATGATGTGTAGTTAGTTATAGTGGTTGATTCTGAAGGGGACTTGAGAGTTTAGACGTTGTGAGCCTGAAAAATGTAACTTGATTGCCCTTTGGCCTATTTTAAACTATCCACGTAAACTTAAATTAGATTGGTAAAAGGTGGAGTTTGAAATATAGAAAGGGAAAGAATAAATGCCCATTGGTCACGGATAGTTAATTGTAATGTTTAAACATTTCATGTATGTCCCTTTATTCTAGTGCTCTTAAAGATTATAGGGTGTCAATGGATATTTCAAGGGTAAGCGCAGATAGCCCTTAGCTTATCGAGCCTAGCCTTATATTTTTACTTTTTATTTATTGGTCGGATTGACATATTATCGAAACCCAGATACTTTACTAAGAATGTATAAGCCCAGACAAAGGTGGCCATGTGTTTTTTATCCATGCGTTTTGTTTAGCTAATAGTCGATAGGTTCCCAAGGATAACTGTTTCCAATGGTATTATATTTATGATCCTTGAGAGAAAGTACCGTGAACAATGGAGAGACGTACGTGTGCGTCAACAAAGATAATAGATATAAACGGGGGAAAAATAATTAGAGATATCGTCGTACTTTTTAACGATTTGGAATATAAAGAAATTACACATTTCGTGCTATATAATTAATAAATATCTATGATAAAAAGAACATGTTCATCACCGATAAAAAGAAGTTCGTACGTTCTAACGATCTGCGATAGAAAAGAAAAGAGGATGAATATCTTTAATCATGCAACGAACGTCATTTTTCTAAATATATCGATCGATAAGCATATTAATCAAATTAAACGAATAGACGTAGACACTCCAAAGAAGTAAATGGAATAAAGTGTTCACAGTGACAGAGCGACGGAAGATTGAACGAAACTAAATTTCAATATACTATGAGAGAATTATTATCGCTTTAATTATTCCGATTGTCGTGCAAATTTGAATGCACGCGACGTTGTGTCTACATACTCCCACGAAGAGAAATAAGTTATTCGTGCTCGCACTGATTTATTATCGATAAATTAATAAACGTATTTTTCATTTTTCTCTTATTTCTTTTTTCCTTTTTTAATCGATACGTTAATACATTTCCGTTTGCACGTATCGACAATATAGAAATTAGTAAGAACAACGTAGCACTTTCATTAAAATAATTTAATAGTTGCTCTGATCGATATAAATGTATCAAGCACTTGACAAAATGATCTCCAATCATCCACACATTAGAAGAAATATACCTTAATATTACACTCTAGTTGTTTCTTATGCGCAAATGCGAGCTCATAGAAAAATATTATTACACTCAGTGTAAGAAAATGTTAAGCGATGTATAACAATTTCTTTATAAAATTCAAACACATGAAATGTCTCGTGTATATATAATTTAAAATCTCCTATACGAATAGATACGATGAAAACGCAATAATATCATATAACACAATAAAATAATTTAAAAATATTCATTTCACGTTAATTCTTCACTAGAAGTGTAAATATTAGAAGAATTTAATATTTCTTAAATAATTTCATTATATAGTATATATATAGTTATATATATAATATAATAGTGTACATGACTGATCACACATTGTGATATCTACCATTGGAAATTTCACACGTAGAAACAATTAAATTAACTATCTCTACATATATAAAAACGAATTCATACATAACAAATAGCGAACATAATTTTTTTCTTTTATATCGTCTATAAAATACATATGTAATACTTCGTGTAAGGAAGAAAAAATTTTTTAAATTTAAAAGAATTAAAATATGTGAACGTGACAAGTAAAAAAAAAGCTTTATACACGCGATTACATCAATACATATTTCAATTTAAAACTGTGTTAAATAATGCAAAGGCTTATATAGTGCACGGTTGTCTCCATTTCATTAGATAATTACAATAAGGGTATAAAAATTTGTTGAGAAAAAACATTAAATCGTTTTTAATATTTTACGCTTGAACATTTGCGATTCGTGTAACTATTTGTAATATTTTTTATACCTTTTTTTCTCTTTACATAAAAATCTAATTTTTTTAACGGCATACGTTCTACCATCAAATTTTTCTTACTTTCATGAGCAAAAAAAAACTTCTCCATGATCAAAATGCAAGTACTCAAAATGATCCCAATTAAGATGAAGAAAATAAGAGATATTACGTTGATTATACAAACCGGTTGATGCTTGATCATACCAAACGATTTCATTTTAGATGTCGTTTCCTTTAAATGATTCATCATTCCATTATTGATAAATCTCTGCAAGCTAAAATGATATTGTGCTTTTAACACAAGATAAAAGATAGTTTACATTATTAATTATGTACTTACTGAAAATTAATAACTTCCCTAAATGGATTGTTCTTAGATAAAATCATGGCTAAATTGTCCATTCGTCCGGTTTCAATAGGAAACATATCGCATGGTATTTTAAAATTTACAATCTTGTTTATTTCATCGGACGAGTAAAATGCTAGTTTCGGATTTTCACAAATCTGTAATTAAACAAAAGATACTAAAAATAAAATTATATGTATTTAGATAGATAAATTATGTTAGTATTTTTACATTTCTTTTATAATACCTCAACGTACCTTCCTAACTCCTTCTATTATATTTATTGGCAATTCTTCATCTTTCAGTATAAACTTCCTCAATTTTTTTCCAAGTGGATCTCCCGAATTCTAGAAAAAAAAAATACATTTCTTCGTCCTCATATATTTATTGCTTTGAACGTATTCGATATATAATATAAATAACATACGTAATACGTTTAATACTCACTACAAAAAGATCATAATCAGCCGTACCGCGAAGTACGATAAGCTGATAAGTACCGTCTGCAATGAAACCCTCTAAGGAATGAAACGGTAAGATGGTGACATCTGATGTTAAAAAGCTTATCAAAGCCGCGGAATAGGCAGCCGATAAGACTACAGCCAAAAAAAATATAGAGAGATATGCTATTTTTAACGAAGATCTTTCAGGAAAATCTAAAACAAACGAATACTTTCTGTTAATCTAATTATTAAAAAAAAAAATCCAAAAATATTAAAACAAACCTACGAGTCCCTGTTGACAAAATATACCCCAAATCTCTAGAAAATTATCGATCAATAAATATCCTATATTACGATCCGTTTCATACCTTATTTTGAAAAAAGCTAGTAATATCGATGCAAAAATTAATATTCCAAACATAACAATCCAAACGAAATTGGAGAAAGCCTATAAAAATTAACAATTATTTAATACATGATGATTAACGCTTGAAAAAGAATGAAAAGAAAATTGAATACAAGTTATCATACTAGAAAATAAGATGACCAATTAATCGCAAATAATTGTGGTTTTTTAATGTAAAGATAGTTTTTTAAAGTTAAAAGAGGAAGCGTGAAGTCAACAACGTTCAATCTTGCACTGGTCATAGAAAAACCTGAAAGGCAAATGTCAGCATGTCCAACATATAATTCTCCCACTGCTCCGGACCAAGATTTTTCTTTTGGATTCCAACTTCCATACTCATCTAGTTCCGCGACAATATCGAAAGTAAAGTTAAGCATCCCAATAAGTTCTTCTAATATTCTATCGAACTGACCGTCCAATTTGCCATCCTTATTTATTCTTATGAATAATGAATTCTGCGAATAGGAAAGTGAAATAAATAACAATCTATTTCAAGTTGAAACTATAGAAAATTTATATAATGAAAATATCATACCCTAATTACAATAGCTCTCATGATCAAACCCTGTAAATTGGATCTTCTTTCATAAAAAGAATTTGGTGAAATATTAATAATTCCTTTCTCCAAACTCCAAGTTGCTACATCGTCGATCTCAGTTCGATTTGGATCGATGGAATACCATTCTCGTAAAATATTTTCCGTACCGCAACGTACCAACATTTCAGAATTGAATTTCAAATGAAATATGTTACCTGGTGGACTGTGACAATAATCGTAATCGTTTGCCCTGTGAATGAACAATACTAACCAAGCAGCAAAGGACATGTCAAAGTCACTGGTTGCCAAAGAAAATTCATTAATTGCATTGTAATCAGATATAACTGCGACGTAATGCGGTCGTACGATTCGGTTTATATAATACGACGATTCGTGCAATTCTGAAAAGTATAAGTTCGAAGTCATAAAACCTTCGCGAGAAAGGGCACGCGTCCATTTGAACACCATCGTTGTCATTTCCATTTCTGAAAAAAAAAGAATAAAGATATTAAAAATGATGAAAAGAAAATGAAAAATATTTTATTGCACCTTTTATCGATTCGGCGTATAAGAAGATCGTAGATTTTGTTCTGTATAATTTGAAAATTTCGATAATGAAAGTAACGTATTCGTCACCGATAGAAAGAAGTTCATGAGATCTTGCAACCTTCGGAAATAAAGGAACAAGAAAAAGAAGTATGAGTATCGTAAATCTTACTAAAAACGTCATTTTTTTTATATGTCGTTCAATGATTATAAGGATATTTTTTATATTGAACGAATCTATGATTACACTATAAAGAAATTAATGGAAATATGTTTTATGTTATGCCAAAGGAAGATCGAGCGGGACTAAATTTCTAAACTATTGAGAGAATTATTGTCAGTTCGATTGTTCCGATTATCATGACGATTTGAATACACGCGATTTATATCTCTACATTCGTGCGAAAAATATTATTTTATGACTACTGGCATTGATTTATTACCGATGGATTAATAAACAAACGTTTCCTTTCTCTCTTTTTTCTTTTTCATTATTTTTTTTTTCCTATAATGTATGAATATATTTCCATCTGTATTTATATATCCATATACACACGTTACATGTTTTTATTATTTCATTTACGATTATAAAATGCAATGTCTCATGAACAACGTTGTACTACCATTAAAATAATTTAATAATATGTATTGAACATTATAAATAAGACAAGTATTCGAGAAAACGGTTTCCAACTGTTAAACTTTAGAGGAAATAACCCTAAACATTATATTCTAGTTATTGTAATGCCTAAAGCGAACTTGTTGGAAAAAATTATTATGCACGATTAAGAACATGTTAAACAATATATAAAGATTTAGTTATACACGTAGAAAAAATTAGATAAATTTGCTCTACATATAAAAATATGTTTATTGAAGAACTTGCGAGAACCTGATTAAATGGTTCCAGCCAATCGTTATTCATACATAAAAAATGACGAACGTAATTTTTTTTTCTAATATTCTGACTATGAAATAAATTACATACAATATATATATAAATTACAAATATACTTCCCGTTAGGAGAGATAAATTAACGTACATGCGACAAATAAAGAAGGTACGTTGTACACGCGATTACACCTATAACTATCTTAATTTAAAACTGTGCTAAATAATGCAAAAGCGTAGTGTAAAAGCTACGTGCAAGCTTGTTTCTATTCCATTAGAAAATTATCAATTAAAATAATATAAAAATTTAATATTTTATGTGTGCACATTTGCAATTCGCGCAGTAATTAGCAATATTTTTTATACTTTCTTTCTCTTTACACAAAAATCTAATGATTTTTTCAATGTCATACATTTTACCATCGAATCCTTCTTACTTTTAGTAAAAATTTACATCTTTATGATTAAAATGGTACCAATCATGATAAAAAAAAATGAGTGATATTACGCTGGTTATTTGAACAGATCGTGGCTTCATCATATTGGAATTCTTTTAAAATTTTATATATGTTATTCAACGATTCATCATCTCATTTTTGATAAATTTCTACAAGCTAAATTATATTTATGCTTCAATGTACAAAAAAAACAAAATTTATATCATTGAATAATTATTTTCTTACTGGAAATTGATGATTTCTATGAATGGATTGTGTTTAAATAAAATCATGACTAAAATGTCTACACATCCTGTTTCAAAAGAAACAATATTGCATGGTACTTTAAGATATACAGTATACTCTAATTCGTCGGATGAGTAGATTGTTAGTTTCTGATTTTCGCAAATCTGTAAATTAATAAAAGATACTAAAGATAAAACTATGTATATATATATATATATATATATATATATATATATATATATTTATAAAGATAAATTATTTCAACATTTTTATATTTTTTTCATAATACCTCAACGTACTTTTCTAAAACCTTCCATTATATCTACTGACAACTCTTCCTCTTTTAGCATTAATTTCATTAAATCCTTTAAGTAGATGTTCAAAATTCTACAAATAAATACATTTCTTCTTCATGCTCATATAGGAATTCACTGGTTTATATATATGTATATATATCGAACAACATAGATAATGCATATAATGTTCACTGTAAAGATATAGCCGTACCACGAAATACGACAAGCTGATAAGTACCGTCTGCAACAAAGTCCTCTAACGAATGAAACGGTAAGATAATAACAACAGATTTTAAAAAGTTTATTAAAGCAATCGATAAGACTAGACCCAGAAAAGATATAGATAAATATGTTATTCTTAACAGTGATCTATTAAGAAATTCTAAAGTACAAACGAATAAATATGACTACTAACAAAAAAAAAGAAGTAAAAATGAATGTCTGGAAGCATTGAATCAAACCTGCGAGTCCCTGTGCATAAAATGTACCCCAAATTTCCAAAAAATTATCGCATAATATATGTCTTACACTTCGATCCATTTTATCCCTTATTTTAAGAAAAATTACTAATATCATTGTAAAAGCAAATATTCCACGTGTAGCAATCCAAATAGAATTGTAGAAAGTCTAAAAAAATAACAATTATTTATTTCATGACAGTTAACGGGTTAAAAAGTATAAAAAAAGAAATTTGACTGCAAGTTATCATATTAGAAAATAAGACGACCAATTAATCGCAAAAACATTTGTGAAAGTAAAAATTATTTTTGGAAAGCAAAAGAGGAAGAGTGAAATCAAAAACATTGAATGTTGTACTGGTAAAAGAAAAATCTGAAATAGAAATGTCAGCACGTCCAGTATATAATTCCCCGATTATTCTTGACCATGTATTTTTTTTGGATTCCATACTCCGTACTCTTCAACTTCCGAAACAACATTCAAACTAAAATTGAGAATCATACAAAGTTCTTTTAGTATTCTACCAAACATGCCGTCCAATTCGCTGTTCTTGTTTATGTTTACAAATGGTGAATCTTACGAGATAAAAAAAGGAATAAATAAAAGAGAAATAAATCATCATTTTTATCTTGACCAAACCAAATTTTCAATAGATCAAAATAAAACGATGATCGATTGTATTTAATTTAAAAATGGATAATATCTCTAGAACGTAAATATTTTATATTAACTAGAATAGCTCTCATGATCAGACCATATAAATTATATCTTTTATTATGAAGAGAATCAGGTATTATTCTAGTGATTCCTTTCTCTGAGCTTCATGTTGCTATATCGTCGATCTCGGTACGATTCGGATCGATTGATTATTAGTCTCGTAAAATATTTTCCGTACCGTAGCGGACCAACATTTTCGAATTGAATCTTAAATGAAATATGTTACCTGGCGAACTATGACAATAATCATAGTCATATTCTATGTAAATGAATATCACTAGCAGCAAAGAACATGTCGAAAGTACTAGTTGCTAAGGAGAACTCATTAAACTCGTTGCAATCGTATATAACTATAACGGAGTGCGGTTGTACGTTTCTCTCTACGTAATAAAACAATTTGCTCAATTCTGAAAAATACAAGTTCGAAGTCGTAAAACCTTCGTGTGAAAGAGCACGCGTCCATTTGAACACCGTTGTTGCGATTTCCATTTCTCAGTGAACAAAGGAAAAAAAATAAAGATAATAAAAATGAACAAAAGGAAATGAGAAATATTATTTCACACCTGTTATTGATTTATCGAATAAGAAAATAATAAATTTTGTTTTGTATAATTTGCAAACTTCGATAAACAAAGGAACGTATTTGTCTCCGATACAAAGTAATTCGCTAAATCTTGAAATCTTGAGATCTTCGGAAAAAGAAGAACAAATAGCGTTAATCGTACGAAGAATGTAATTTTTTTTTTCGTATATCAATCAATAAATTTATAAACGACGACTATTCCTCATATAGAACGAATTCACAACTACCTTATGGATAAATTCATTGGGAAAATTTTCATGCGACATCGAATGAAGATCGCACGAGACTAAGTTTGTAAACTTTTGAGAGATTTATGGTCTCCTCGATTATATCCTTATTATCGTACAGATCTGAATGCAAGCGACAAGTATTGAAAAAAAATTAATTTATGAGTGCTGGCATTGATTTTTTATCAATTATTTAGTAAATGTTTTTATCGTTCTCCTTTTTCTTCCTTTTCATTTATTTTTTTTTCTTTTTTCTTCTTTTTTTTCCTTCGTCGTGTGAATATATTTCTGACTGCATTTATATATGTACATACACATTTTACACATTTACGTTATTCTAGATAAGATAGCAAAATACAATGTCTTAAACGTTGAACCCATTAAAATAAATTAACATAAATCAATTAATACAAACGGGGCAATTATTTAACAAAATGATTTACTACCAGCAAATATTATTTTCTAATTTTTTTCTATATACGCATGCACGAGGTTATCGTAGACAATTATTACAATCGATTAAGAATATGTGCCATATTAAAATATTACGATCAAAATAAAAAAATTCGTTTAAAAGCGAATATTAGCATTATTGTTAATAGTTCTCACGTTATCGTTTCCTTTTTACATTGACTCCGAACGATTTAATCGGAGTACGATTTACCATTGACACCTTCTTCATTTTGGAAGAAAATATACACTTTTCTATTACCAGTATAAAAATACTTAAAATGATACCAGTTTGAATGAAGAAAATAAGCGACATAACGCTGTTCATGCGAACTGGTTCATGTTTCTTCAAATCACTGGATTTCTTCTTAAATGTCGAATCTTTTAAACGATTCATCATACCATTATCGATAAATTTCTGCAAGCTAGAATGAGTTCGTGCTTTAACGTACGATAAATGAAATTTTACATTATTAATTATGCACTTACTGAAAATTGATAATGTCTGTGAATGGATTGTTTTTAGATAAAATCATGGCTAAACTGTCTACGCGTCCCGTCTCAATAGAAGCCAGGTTACATGGTATTTTAAGATTTACAATCTTTTGTACTTCCTCGGACGAGTACATTGCTAGTTTCCGATTTTTACAAATCTGTGATTCGATAAAAAACATTGAAAATTAAATTATATATAACTATATGTTATTATGTTACTTTTTTGTTTTGGTTTCTTATAATACTTCATCATACTCTCTTGAATCCTTCCTCTACATTTGTTGTCAATTTTTCTTCTTCTATCATCAACTTCATCAATTTCTTTTCAAGCGGATTTTTCGAATTCTACAAATAAGTATTTTTGCTCATCTTCTCATCTTTATATATATACATATACCTTACATGTCATCTTCATCTATATATATATATATAATATAATAGATGTTATATATATATAACAACGTTTTATATATATACATATAAATATATAAATATATAAATATATATATATATATAAAACAACGTAGATAATAAATATAATACTCACTACAAACATATCATAATCAGACGTACCACGAAAGACAGATAATTGATAAGTGCCGTCTTCAACGAAACTTTCTAATGAACGAAAGGGTAAAATATGGACAGTAGACGTTAAAAAGCTTATCAAAGCCGCAGAATAAGCGGCCGATAAAACGACAGCCGAAAGAAGGATAGAGAAGTATGCTATTCTTAAAGAAGATTTATCAGAAAAATCTAAATCAAACGAATACTTTGTATAAATGTAATCATTAAAAAAAAGAAAGAATTTAAATAAAATTTAAGAAATATCGTATCATACCTGCCAATCCTTGTTGACAAAATATACCCCAAATCTCCAGAAAATTATCGGATAATAAATGTCCTACGTTACGATCCGTTCCATTCTGTATTTTGAGAAAAATCAATAAAATCGATCCAACAATTAATATCACCAATATAGCTATCCAAATAGAATAGGAGAATGTCTGAGAAAAATAACAATTTTTTAATTCATAAAGGTTAACCAACGAAAAAGAAAAATTTCATTGCAAGTTATCATACTAGAAAAAAAGATGACCATTTAATCGCAAATATTTCTGGCTCGCGAATGTAAAGACATTTTTTCGAAAGCAAAAGTGGAAGCGTAAAGTCAACAGCATTCAATCTAGCACTGGTAATAGAAAAATCTGAAATAGAAATGTCAGCACGTCCAGCATATAATTCTCCTACTGCTCCGGACCAAGTCTTTTCTTTAAGATTCCAACTTCCATATTCTTCTACTTCAGAAACAATATTGAAACTAAAATTGAGAGTCATAGAAAGTTCTCTTAATATTTTACCGAATATCCCGTCTAATTCACCATCCTCGTTTACAATTAGGAACGACGAATCCTAGTGCAAAATAAAATAATTAATGCGAATTTAATTTACTAGAAAATAGAAAATATATCCAGATTAGAGAATACTTTACCTTAATTATAACAGCTCTCATTATCAAACCCTCTAAATTATATCTTCTTTCATGAAGAAGAGAATCTGAAGCAATTTTAGTTATTCCTTTTTCTAAGCTCCATGTTACTAAATCGACGATCTCGGTTCGATTCGTATCAATCGAATACCACTCTCGTAAATTATTTTCCATACCGCAACGTACCAACATTTTCGAATTGAATTTTAAATGAAATATGTTACTTGGTGGACTGTAACAATAATTGGAGCCATGTCCCTTGTAAATGAATAACACTAGCCAAGCAGCAAAAGACATGTCAAATGTACTGGTTGCTAAAGAGAACTCATTAATTGCATTGTAATTTGAAATCACAGCGATATAATGCGGTCGTTTGATTTGCCCTACATAATACGATGATTTATGCAATTGCGAAAAGTACAAATTCGTGGATGTAAATCCTTCTCGAGAAAGCGCACGCGTCCATTTAAAAATCATCGTTTCCATTTCCATTTCTAAGGAAGAGAAAAACAATAATAATTCAAATGAAGAAGTGAAAGTTTGAAATATAGCACCTTTCATTGATTCGGAGTACAAGAAAATTATTGATTTCGTTCTGTATAATTTGCAAATGTTGATGATAATAGGAATATATTCTTCGCCGATAGAAAGAAATTCGTAAGATCTTGCGATTTTTGAAGGAAGAAGAAGAAAAAGAGGAACAAGTATCGTTAATCGTACAAAGAATCTCATTTTTTCTTTCGTATTTCTCAAATTGAACGAATCGGACTATTTCTCAAATAGAACGAATCGACAGACTATTTTAATAAAATTCGTGGAAAAAATTTTTACACAATAACGAAGGAAGATCAGGCGTAACTAAATTTTTGAACTATTGAGATACTTATTACTACTTGGAATATTGCGATCGTAGTGTAGATTGATATGAACGCGCGGCATATGTTTGTGTGTGTGTGTTTTCATATGTATTCTTGTGACGATAATAACTTTATACGTTCCGGTATCTGTCATCGATCGATTAATAATCGATTATTTTCATTTCCCCTTTTTTCTTTTTTGTTCTTTTCCTTTTCTTGTTTGGCAAATGTATGTGAATTCATCTGTGTTTATGTATCTACATAGACACACGTGGTTCGTTTTTATTCCATACAAATGTTAAATGCAATATCTTAAAAACGACATCGTACTTCCATTAAAATAATTTAATAGACGTTCTAATCGATATAAACGATGCAAGCACTTGACAAAATTATTTTACGATCATCAAACGTTATATTCTAGTTTTTTTCCATATGCGCAAACAGTAGATTACTATGGAAAATTATTATGATTGAGAAAACGTTTGAAGAAGTACAAAAAACTGATTACAACATTAAATAGATAATATGTTAATAGATAATATGTTTTCTATATATTTAATTTAGAATTTATATCAATAGATACGATGAATTCATTTCATATCAATTCTTGAAAGTGTAAAAGCACAAAATCTAATTGCCTTTTTAAAAACAATTTTTTAATTTTTTAATTTTTTAAAAACATTTCAATACTTGAAATACTTTTTATTAACAGTCTCAGGCCTAGTCACGTATTAGTTCGTTCTTTCCCTCTAAATTTTAAACGATTATGTCAAAATAATATATTATTTTCGTTTACAATTTATTTTCAACAAACAAAACAATAATTAATTTTCAGAAATCGATTCCATTAAACGTGGGAATATTTGACGTATTTCTTTATATCTCCAATTATTGTATGTTTAAGAATTTATTAATACTTTCTCCAATATCATAAAATATTCATAGAAATATGAATATTTGTATAATGTAATTAATATATATATATATATATATATATATATATATATATATATATATATATATATAATATACGTATACATTACTGTATTACGAAAAAGAAATTCATATCTCTTGAAATAGAAAAGAATTTCGTTTCGGTCTACCTGTATTATGATGCAATATAGCAATTCACTATCATGACTTTAAACTTTTACACTGTACAGTATGAGTTATTTCTTACGTGTAGATAAAGTCACATGACGAAGCTTCGAATTCTGCATCTCATTCAAAAATGGCGCTGAATGATACTTCCCGAATTGAATTGTTATGATTATTATATCGCAGCTGTTATAAAGAAAAGTCGATAAAAAAAGGAAAATCTTTTTCATCTTTGCGATAATATAAATAATATTTTAATTACCATCGATTTATTTTAACTATTCTCGCTTTTATATACACATTATAAGTATTCAATTTTACTTCGTCAGCAATACCCCGCCATTTTGATTTGACGCAGGCGCCGTTAACGCTGACGTGAATCAATATCCCACTTCGACTATAAAAGAATCATCAAAAGAATTCCAGGGACATATTGCGTCTTAATCGTGATCGTGATTTTACGTTGTCATTTTACAAGATTTTACGTTAAATATATATATATATATATATTTGATCGAAAAAACATTTCTTTGGATCTCTATCTGTGATTTATTCAAATTTAAACGATAATTTCTTATTACAAAATGGAACATTTCAAAGCATATTTGATAATTCAAGGATCCTCGAAGGAAGAAGAGATTCGAAGATTTACAATTGAATCTGAAGCTGTAACAAATTATGTGTACTTGAGAGAAAAATTACAAACGGTTTTTCCAAATTTACAGGGGAAAATATTTACAATCACCTGGAAAGGTAAATATCTAAAAATTTTAAATGATTGACTATTCATTAATTTATAATATATATTATATTAATGTTTATCACTTTCTTGATTTTATATAAATTTTTAAGGAAATTTTAATTGTTAAATATTCCAGATGCCGAAAATGATCAGATAGCAATATCAACTGATGAAGAGTTACTTATTGCTTTAACTGAATCCCCAAGACTTGGTGCTCGTAAATTATACATTACACAACATGTAGACCATGAGAAAAATGTTTATGTTCAACCAGAAGAAATTGCAGGAGTGCTTCATCACAATATCATATGCGATGGTTGCAACAAGAACGTTAAAGGTTTTCGATATAAATGTATTGAATGTCCAGATTATGATTTATGTTTTGATTGTGAATCAAAAGGAGTGCATCCTGAGCATTGCATGATTCGTATAGCAGTACCATTGCAATGGACATCACGGTATGGTAGACGCTTGGCTCATCATATGAAAAAATTTATTAGAAAAAGTGTTACATATAATACAAGAGCAGAGGATAGTAGAGAATGTCCAACTATGAATGAGAAACATTGCAGAAGATCTAGACCAAATTGCGATAATTCTTCATGGGTGGATACTTTTGCAGATTATTTTAATGATTGGACCTATAATGCAGGTGAGTGTCCTATAAAGAATAATATTCAAAAACCGCCAGAAACGGCGACTGAAGCCATACCTTCGCCTAATGAACCATTACCTAAAGAAGCTAAAAAAGAAGCAAAACCCCATATCGATCTGTTAAAGATGGTAGAAGACAATATTGCTCAATTTTTGAATCCTCTTGGAATTGACATCAGTATGAAAGTTAAAAATAATGAAAAATCTGATATGTCGCAAAAAAATGCTCCTACTAAACAAGCTGAATCAAAAGTATCATCAACTACAAATGAAAATGCTTCTGCAAAGTTTTCTGGAGAAGGCAGGAAATTGACAGAAGAACAAAATATTAATATTCCTGCTTCTAATGTTGAAACCTTAGCTAGTAAAAATGATTCACCTTCTGAAAAATCTGATAAATCCTCAGATGACGAAGATTGGACTATGGTGAATAAAGACGAACGATCTTCTGCTGCTGCTGCTGCTGCTGCTACTACTTCTGTTATTGATCAAACTTTGTCTTATCCTTCTCAACCTACTAACGAAAATGTGCCAAACAAGGTAATGTTTATGCACTTTTGATACAGGAAAATATATATATCCATATATAAAATAATAAAAATTTTTTATGGAAAAATATATTATAATCAAAATATATTAAATAAGCTATATAAAACTTTTATATTTAGGTTATTACTCCATCAGCACCTACAAAAGAAGAGTCAAATGGAAATTTATATCCACAATTACCAAAATCAATTCAACAACAAATTATATATCATCGAAATCCAAAGATTCAAAATGCAGTTGAAATTATGATGACTATGGGATTTTCTAATGAAGGTGGTTGGCTTACTCAACTATTAGAAATCAAGGATGGTGATATTGGAAAAGTTTTGGATATGCTGTCACCCGTACGCGAATGATACAATCTATTTTGACTATATCTTATAAAAAACTTAAGGGGAATCTTATATAAAAATAAAGTTATATATCTTTGAATATTATAGTAACATTCCAACTTTAATAATCTATAATTCTATATACTTTTCTTTAGTATACATATTAATGTAGAAATGTAATATTTCTAGATTTTTTTGTTCCAAAATTTTTAGATTATAATGTAATAATCAATAAAGTAGTGCAGTGTTTAATTGTTCTCTATTTCTTTACATTTTATCCAAAATTAAAAAAGAGAAATTTATACATATGTATATAAATACATTTAATTACTCCAGAAAGGTTTTATTATATTGAAACGAACAAATTCTTTGTTTACTTTATTTAAAATATTTTTATAAGGATTTACAAATTTGCCTTATTTCGAGTGGATGACCAATAGTCAATGCCCATATTTCTGCTAATCCATCTGCATTAATATCCCTAATCCATTTTCGCTCCTTGTAATATTCCATTAAAGATTCAAATTCAGCTTTATTGTAATTTTCTATTAAAATAGGTATAAAAGGATCTAAACATTCAAAGCCATCTTTACCAAGCAAGTATCTAGGATGGTCAGATTCTCTTTTATCCTAAAGGCAATTATGATAATACAATCGTTATCAATGTTACAAGCAAAGGCACATTACAGACATAGAATTGTTTTATAAATAGAAATATAGTTTGTAAATAGAAATTCAAATTTTAAATTTGATTTTATTCCATATTATTACCTTGCATGCTTTAGCATCTAATGTTAAAACGGCAGCTCCATTGCACCAATCAGCTTTTATAAAATTTAGAAATGATAAAGTTAATGATATTTGTCGAGGGTTAACCCATACTTTAGCATCATTGCGTATTCCAGTCTGATCTGACCAAAATGCATTATAACCATCTACAGCTGCTAAAACTTTACATTTTCCTGCAATGCTAGCTTCTTTTAATTCCATCAATAATGCATCTATTACGCTGGATGCATATCTTACTCTATTTATACCAAACTCTATCATTTCTAACAATGAAGTACCATTAGATGCTTTCTCTCTTATATTCCATTGATAATCTCTCGATATTTTAAGCTATAACACGACTTTTATTATTATAAAATTTCTGTAAATGAACATTTGTAAATACTTACATCAAGTTTTGATAAAAGATCATTATTCTGACTTTTAAAATATAATAACCATTTGCCTGCATCAATTGGTAAGTCTATGATATCTGGACTTTTATACGAATTCGCGATTTCTTTTGGGAATCGAAACCAAATGTTAGCTAAAATTTATAAAACATATGTCATTTAATAGATATAAAATAATATAAACAATATAAAACGTGAAATAGTTATTATGATAACTTTACATACGAGAAGGCACATGTACTATTATCATCTGCTTTATAAAAGCATAATGTAATATATGCATTAATGTCATTGATTTTCCTGTACCAAATTTTCCATCTATATGTACGGTTAAAGAAATGTCATCATTTATATATATATATATTTTAGATAGAATACTTTCTAAAGTAAAAAATTAATGAAAGGATACATAATACATATTTGTTTATAGGTCTATTATAATCTGCTTGTTCAAGATATGATATTACTTCTAAGGCAGGATTTCTAACTAATATAGAACATTCATTGAAAGCAGTAGAAAGAGTTAGAAAATTTTTTGGAATTCCAATATTTTGATAAAGTGTCTTGACTATATGGCTTTGTATCGTATATATTCTATTCAAATGTTGTTCATTATGATTTACCGGATTTGATTCTATTGTACGAAAACTCTGAAATTGTTCATCTACTATATCCTTTGGAAATACATTCACCAAAGTACTATATTGTTTTTGCCATCTTAACCGATACGAATATTGTAATAATAATCCTAAAAATGTCTTAAATATTATAATCCATATATATGACATAACCAATAAAATTTACATAAACAATCATTAGAATATTAAGATTATTCTGAATAAAAACAAAACTCACGAGATGTTAATGACATATTTCCAATATTCTATTTAAAGAATATACAATTGTTTAATATATCGACAAATATGTTCAAGTTTTCATACTAAAATTAATACTATAACATATTTTTCTCTTTTACAGCAAAATAATCATAAGTTATATATTAAGAAGAATATTCTCAGTGATATAAGATTGATAGTGAGATATAACCAAAAATTATTTTATGGCATATGACTATCAACGCCATCTCGTGCTTCATAGATCGATATATAAACTTGACTTCAAATTTGAAATTTACTGATACTTATAGACATTTTTATTATTCATTTTATTATTCAATTAATGATGAATATATCTGAGATGATAAATGATAATAAATGAAAATCAGTTAGAATATATAAAAATAATAAAAAAATAAATTTTTCAGAGTCTTTCTCTAACTAATTATATTAGAATTCTATCTAATCTACAATATTCATCTATGAAAGTATGATTAACAAAATAAAATGTAAATAATTTAATAGTTAATCAGAATTAGTTTGAAAACACCATTGAAACACCTTGAAATATGCAGCCATTCGTCCGGTAGAACTTCCGTCATATAATTTAGATTTAGATATTGATATATTGCAAGCACTGTCTATCGAACCAAGTTTGAAAGTTGCTGCATGTAGAGACCTATAGGCTAACTATTCTAAAATCCGCATCTGCGAACATACACGTAAGTGTTAGAATAATGGTAACTACGTTATTAAAATCCGAGGTGATATGAGCTAATCAAGAATTCTGGTTTCCAACGCTATCTGGAGGAGAGTCAATCCACGCTTACGGTTAACAGGACTGCGTAACATCGGTAGCTACATATACTCTACTACAAGGTAACACCGTTCATGTATCTCAAATTTCATACAATACAACGAAACCCATGGTAAGACTTTTAATCGCGGCCGGACATCCACGCTAGTATTAGAAAAATGGTGACTCTACTCCATAATCTGCATTCGCGAGGTATTCTAATCGAATTTTCGAACAAATAAAACGTAAGTCCTCGGTAGAACTTTTAATCGCACTCGCGAACATCCACGCCTGTGCTCGCCAATACGCGTATGAGTGTTCTCTCTATTCTTCCTGTATTCTAACGTAAAAATCAATGATAAATCTATCCCTTGATAATCTTTGATGATTGATCCTTCGATGATGTCTGGAAAAGAAGAAGAGAAAGAGAAAAAATATGAGATAGAAAAAAGAGTTGGAGAAAGAAAATAAAAGAAAGCCAGAGAAAGAAAAGAAAAAAGCTGGAACGTGCATGCACGTGACAACGATAAAACGAAGAACAAGAGGTGGATATATTGAATATTACTCCACCTGACCAAAATCAGTATACCAAAATCGAGCTTGATTTTCCTTACTGAAAGAAGGATAACTTCTTAAGATCTTTCCCAAGCGTCCCACCTGATGATTCTTTTCTGTAATAGTCCTTTTCTGTAATAGTACTTTTTTGTGATGGTCTTTTTCTGTAATAATCCTCTTCTGTAATAGTATTTTTCCTCGATGATACAGTCTGAAAAAAGAGGAGAAAGAGGAGATAGAAAAAAAATAATAAGAGATAAAATTTAGTAGGAAAGAAAAGAAAAGAAGAAGAGAAAAAGAAGTGGACATTTCGAAGATCATTCCATCAAGCAAAACCAGAATAAAAATTGAATGAAATTGAGCTTGATATTCCTTGCTGAAAGGAGACTCAAGGTTCCATCCCAAAGATCCCACACATGGATCCCACCTGAGATTTATAAATAATAATTAATAAGAGTTGATAAAAATAAATAGAAAAAATGGCGAGCATAAGTGGGATAAAAAAATTTGCTGTGCGTTTCTTTAAGAAATTATTTTAGAATTCTAGTATATCCAATTCATTTATCTTTTCAAGTATGATTAGCAATGTAAACTGTAAGTTTAATGTATTAACTTTATTTTAACATGAATTAGATTGAAAAGATATTTTTAAAATATGAAACCATTCATTCGGTAGTACTTATATACTACAAGATTTCGATAAATCGCAAATACTAAAAATCTAGGTCTCACCACGTGAACCTATATCTGAAAACCCATTTATTGCCTTTAGTACAAAAATTTAAACCGATGTGTATTTAATGCGGTCAATTTTAAATCGATAGTATATATATATGATTTTGTTGAATGTTATTAAAAATGTTGTAGTGTTTAAATATAAGTTAATTATATATAGTTCATGTACTTCAGACATTGTTCAAATGTTAGTAAAATGTTAGTTTATATTTATTGAAAGATTAAATTTAATTTCTTTTATATTTAATGTGTCTTACAATCTTTATATCGTTGCTAAGAATATTCTATTGTTTAAATATTGATTAGTTACACTTCATACATTATTTAAATGTTACTAAAATAATTTTATAAGCCCTAATTTAATGACTCCAATATAACTTAATAATATAGAAAAGAAAAGAAACAAGGAAAGAAAGTATATATATATATATATAAATTATTAAAGTATATATATATGAAAAACAAAATTCTGTATTTAATTTAATTTAAATTTAAAAGAGAAAAAGAAAATAAGAAATTTTCAATCCTAATCTAAACAAATATTCTTTTCCCGTAACGCGTGGCGAAATGAGAACTTGGCATATATCTTGGTGTGTTCGCTTCAGCTCCATGTGCACCTTTATTCAGGGCAGATTTAATGATCTCCACTGAAAAGAAGTAAAAAATTTGTGACTTCAACGTGAAATTTGATTTTATTAGAATAAAATTTTGAATTTTATTTAACATTAGAAAAGAATAAATGAAAAATCTATGACTCGATTTTAATATAGAACTTTAAAAAAAAAGGTAATTAATTAATGACTCAACTTTGATAATAAAAATATATAAAATATAAAATAATCATATTTGCGTACACGTGGCAATATGAGACCGGAGGCGGAATGTTATGTCGACTCAGTTTCTTAAGTCTATACCCCTACACCCATCATCATAAGAGCATTGAGTGACAAAATGATGATATTAAAATATGATTAAGAGCCATTCTTGAAAGATTCCGAGGACTTTCGAAAATAACTCAATAGCCTAATATTTGCCCTTTCGAGCCACAGTATGTGAAGGCTTCTTCAGCATATAGACTCTTCTTTGCTTTGTGCTCTAACCGCTACTATAGAGCAATCGATAACTACCGTTAATGCCAAAGAATTAAAATCATCCCTTATTCTAAAACTTGGAAGAAAACTGATAAATCTAACGCAACTCTAACGCAACCCTGAAAAAAAAGCGTGAAAGCATAGGAAGAGAAACGAGAATTAGTATATTAATTGTTGAAAATCCTATGCTAAAAATTGATTAATTTATTCTAGGGTCTACGAACTGTGATTCTATAAGTCTCTTCGTCTTTTATCAATGACTCTACTTTCCTCTTTCAAAAGCAATGACTCTATCGAGACTTTTTTTTTATTAACAAAATTGGTTAAATATTTGATTAATTTAACTTCAAAAATATAATAAAGAATCTTTGGACACTCCTTCTTACAAGCGATTACTGTAATTATTAGAAAACAAATCATATAATTTTGCTTATAATCCAGAGACTATCCATCGCAAATGTTTTTTTTCTCATTCCTTATTAGAACCTGAATAACGATTCTTTGCAATTTTCGAGAGAAAAAAATATTTAATAATGCATTAAAATATTCAAAATTTGAAATAATTATAATTAACGCATTTAAACAAGAAGACCTTATCCTAATTTAATAAATAAATCAAAATATAAGAAACCGTTCACGAATAAATTTCTTAGGAAATTTATTCGTAATCACTTAATGCTCTTCTACTAATTAATTACAACCGATCACTGGTGCAGATTCGGACCTTTCATCTCGACATGATTGAATGATCAGAGGATCTTAAAAATTCACTTACTACTTAAGAAGTTCTGCGATGACTCCAAAATCCTCGTCCGAAATTTAGATTGAAATTGAAGGTGGATGATTCGTAAATGATTGAAAATAAAGTAAGTCGAAGTTGTTAAAAATCCTCTTCAATGATGCATTGATTCTAACCATTACTAAAAGTAACTGCGATAGTTACTTTTTAATAAACGATCATTGAAGTTAATTCGCGAAAATTTACTATCTTTTATAAATACAGTCTGTGCGACTGCTAAAAAAGCAAACTTTGCAAACAAACACTGATTCTAACTATTGCATTGCATCCAGTTGATGCAAAAACACTTGCTGTTTAAATCGCGAAACGTGAACGAATAAACACTGCTTTTACTTGGCGATATGTTTATTTTAGCAATATAAACATTCAATTACATCATTGCTTCGCGCGTAATTGCAATGATATTCTGAAATAAAAAAATAACAGCAAAATTATTAGTATTATTATTATAATAAGAAACTATATAAATTGAAGAAACGTGCGATATAAAAATTTACTTACTTTAAATATAACTTTGATATTTGCAGCAAATGCATCCTAAGAGATTTTCGATGTTTACTCGTCAGAGGACAAAGGAGAACTGATACGGTAATCGTCAAAGTCAATAAAAAAACTGAATATGTTTATATTATACAACATCAACTACACTGAGATTAAAATTTTAAAGTATAGGAATTTTATATTAAAATTATTTTTAATTTTACGCGCATTTCCGTCATTTTAATATTTAAACGAATGTACTCTTGTTCAAATATTACATTATTGTATTTCATGTAGATTAAAAACTTTAAAAATTATCGGAAGAGTATCAATAGTATGAATTTATAAGTTATCACGTTTAATAATAAAGAGTTTCTATAATCACGAGTCGGTATACAAAAAAAACTAACTTGGTAATTGTCAAAGTTAATTAAAAGACCGAATATGTTTATATTACACAAGACCAGCTATTTTACATGATTATGCTTACAAAATTCTTCCAATATTATGTTTTAAAATATGTTTATTATTATTTACAAGTTAATGTTCTTAGACAATTTTGAAGGTATTTGTAGTTTATTGTTAGTTCTTAATATAATAAGTTTAATTAAAATTCTTTACTTTTTTATTATACATACGAAATCTAATGGTGATATTATTTACTAAAATTATTTACTTTATTGATGATAGTTCATATGAACGGCAGTTTTCTATTAGAAAAAAATAATCGGAACAGTTTCTAAAAGTCTTGGATCGATAAATTTTTCGTTTAACATTTGTCATCACACTCGACTATGTACGGTGGTGCACAAACACTATGCTTCATTCCAAAAGAAAACTTTGGTGATAGATCTAATAATTTGGGATCATATTTAGGTCCTGGACTCTTACAGATATCTTTATCGGGATGAAGAAAACCTAAACTAAACATTGGTGATCTTGGTTTAATCACATCCAATGTATACATGCCAGAAGGTCCTGGTCCACCAATACATTTGAGATCAGGAAGACGTATTCCTCTATAAAAATAAAATAATATAGAATCAATGATTAATAAGACAAAAATAAATATATTAAAGTCTTACATGGTAAAGCTTGGTCCAGGAAAGATGCTCTTTATGTCATAAGGTCCAGGTGATGCACAATCACTTCTGTATTTGGTACGCCATCCTAGAGAAAACATAGGACCGCTTGGGGGACTTGGTATAAAATATTTCGGACCAGGTCCACAAGTTTTATCTATAATACCAAAATAAAGAATTTTATTATAATATCATAACATAATATATATTTTTATACTTTTTATAAGTAATGAAATTCAAATATCTATGAGATTAATTACCTGTGGTTTTTAACAAGAATCCATGAGTAAAACCTTTTAGTTTTTCTTCTGGAAGCATATATTTTGGTCCAGGACTTTTACATGTGTCTTCAGGCATACGTCTTATACCAAACGTGTATGCCGGATTTCGATACTTCGAAATACAATGATCTTCGTGACCAACGAGCGTTTTCAATTTGTATTTTGGTCCTGGAGCTTTTCAATCATAAAATTAGCAATCATTATGTATGTCCTTCGAAATAGAAATAAAATATTATCTTTAAATTGAATCCTTACAGGGTATCCCGCAAATCGCTGCATTCGTAATTTTCTTAGATTCTATTGTATCACCACTGATATTAGCGGTTTTGGCTACCTTAGGAGGCATTGTAATTAAATTCTTATAAATTTAGATATCTGACAAGAAATTTTGTATTTATAAAACATAAAAAATATTGTAATTTTTATCTCAATTCCATTTTGGTTAAACGAGAAAAAAAACAATTGATAGTTCGATACAACGTATCAATTTTTATATATATATATGTATATATGTGTATAATTATTGAAAATATATATGTACACATAATTAAATAGACGTATATATATATCTGATTGAAGACCACATTTATTAAATAAGATATTGAGATATATAAAGTTATTATACAATTTTTACAAAAACTTGATAATGAAACACATCCATATTTTTCCAATCAATCTTCATCTAAACTCGTAATGGGATTTCCTGCACATATACTATGTCTAACGCCAAAGGAATATTTTGGGGCACGTCTTCCAATATTATACGTAGGATTATAACGTGGACCTGGACTAATATATCCTTCAGAAAGATCATGACGCCATTTAAGACTATATGCTGGATTGCGTTTCTTTATAACATTTTGATTAAGATCCGCATAAGCTGCTGGACCCGGACCTAAAGACTCTAATGGTGGTTCATAATAGGCACCGCTGAAAAATAAAAAATATTGTATAAATGAGTAATACATATTAATTACTGAATTTAATTTAATAAATTATTATTAAATTAATAATAAAATTTACACACATGGTATAAGCAGCTTGTGTTCTCATATCTGGTATTTTAGGGCCTATACATGTTGGTATTGTGTAAGCATTTGGCCCAGGCCCTTCAATAATTTGTAATGGTTGACCTTTTGATTTTATGGTATATGCAGGAGCTCTACGATTATGATTCATTGGGAGACATTGTTCAGGCGCATATGCACCAGGTCCTGGTCCTAAACTCAAAACTAAAAAATAATATAGATAGTCATAGAATTTAATGTTTTATATAATCTTATGGTTACAAAACACGTATATTTGCAAAATAATAAAATTCATATTTTTACTTGTATCAGGATATTTAATAGCTATTGTGTATGCTGGTGGTTTATCTAATCCAAATTTTGTTAATTTATTGATGTTATAGCGTGGACCAGGACCAACGGTTTTGTCACTTAATCCTACACGAAACCGTATACTATACGCTGGACCCCTATGTTTAGATGGATCATGTCCAACATATCCAACTAATGGAGGTAATTTATAAACTGGTCCAGGTCCTAAGTTAAAATTTTCATTTTAATTATATCGGTATAATAAAAAATATTATGAGGTTAATGTTATAATGTATAAATATTTCCCTTATATACCTTTGGTTAGACAATCAACTTTTGGTTTATTTTCTACGTCTTCCATTTTCTAAATTAAAAAACAGTTTAAACAAAGTAAAATGATATAAAACTCATAAAAGTTCTCAAAAATGAAAGTAAAAAATTTATATATAAAGATACATTATAATAAATCATATAAGGACTATAATGAATCTAGTATAGATTTAATATATAACTACATTCACAGCAATTATTGTCATTTATCAATCAGTTATTACACAACTGTGTTGTAAAAAGAATGTAGTATTCTAATTATGTAATGAATAATGACACATTAATAAAATACAAATGAAACATATTAATTTGGAGTATAACAATTTATGATCAAAAAAGATATATTTCGCATAGAAAATATTTACATAATAGAGTCTGAATCATTTTCTGAATCATCACTAAAATCATTATTAAAATCATCTTTTCCTTGCTTAATTACTAAAGCTTTCAGTTCCTCTAATATATTTTCTTTATTTAAAGATAATTTTTCTGTACTCTTTCCGTTCTCTTCGTCAGCATCACTTTCTTCCAAGTCTCCTTTCTCATCACTATTACTTTCAGGATTAGATTTTTTTGAGTTACCTAAATAAAAAATATATATAATATAATCATACGTATAATCTCTAAATATTGAAATATATATTTAATAATTACGATTCATATATCTTATAAATGTTCTACGTTTCCTTTCTGGTAACTTTTTTAACAATGTCTGTAATTCTGCATCTAATTTAATACTTTCTTCTCTACTCGGTTTACCCTCAATTATTTCACGCTTTTCACCACATTTAGGACAAACTTGATGATTTTTTGCACAAGACAGGCACATGATGTGATAAGCATGCTTTACAGTTTTCTGTTCGCACTTAGTGCATTTAGCTGGTGCTTTAAGAGGTTTATATTTCTTGTATTTGATCTTCCACTCGATTATTTTTTTACATCTTTCACACACATTGGTTACCTCGATATTATTAATAAACTTTATTTTATGAGAAGTATCATGTAAATCATTCTTGAAGGCAGTTTGATTTTTGTATTTTTGAGGCCTGGATCGATTTGCATTTCCCTTCTGACAACTCATATTTGTGCCGTTATTAATTTATTTGCGAAATATCTATATATATACTATTTTATAATGCATATTATTTTATAATAACAAAATATTTACTTTGTATACTGTGTGTATTATGAATTATTTGAAATAAAATACTGAATAAATTAATGTTCGTGATTAATTCATTATTTAATGATAAAACTTCGAATAATTTATATATATATATATAAATGCACATATATATATATATATAAATACACATATATATATATACATATATGTATATAGATGTGTATATATACCCACTTATTGAATGAAAATAACGTATATAAATAAATATATAAAAAATCACGATAATATCATATGTTTGATATTAGAACAAAGTTCCACCGCTAGATGGTAAGTAGATCGAATATACTTCAGGGCCGTAACTATGTAATCGTCAGCCAAATTTAAAAAAAAATATGAACATACAAAAAGGAAGGCTTGTTCATCTGAAATACTGTCTTTAAGAAAATAAAATAACTTCTTTTTTATTTTCTTATATATACATACATATATATATATATATTTATATATAAATCAAATATTACGTACAGTAAAAATATAATATAAAGTTTGATATGCTATCAATTCAGTGTAATATTATAGTAATGTTAAACATATTATTTATATCTCACGTATTCAATGTTAATATGACACAATGATTTTGATAAAAAAAAAATACTTTGTTGACTACATTGCTATTTTTTTTTCCTTTTTCGTTCGCTATACTTATTCTACGTTTATTGTTTCCATATAATAATAACATAAATCATGACCTTTAAATATGAGATTTTATTTTTTTCAGGCATATATATATACACACAGATTGATTTCAAGTAAAACTGAAATCTATTAATAAATTGATTGATTTAATAAGAACTAAAATTAGGAAAATATTTTATAAAGATGTACATACATACGTTTTATGTATAAATCGTAATATTTTCTTTTATCGTTCTTCGCTGGCTTTCGAAGAGTTCTTAAAAAGAATTCTTCTACAAAAAAAGAATGAATTTTATGATTTCGAAGTAGTTGATCGAACATATATCTCTTAGATACCTTTTAAATATCCGTTGATCAGCGCTCTATCCTTTCCTGGCGACTTTTTCGAAACAATTACTTTGTTTCGTACGAATATATTAACATATTGGATATTGAAAAATTATTTATATAATTTTAATTATTATATTTACATTTCTTTAATACAATAAAATGAGAAAAATAATATACCAAATATATAAATTTTATTCTGTTATGAAATGAGTATAATTAATATTAAACGAGTACATAGCTAAGAGAAATTGTTAACGTATTAAATTTTTGTTGGCCCTTAAAAGGGCCATTTTTATTTGTTTTTGTAAATCTTTTTCTTTCTCTTTTTTTTTTTTTTTTCGTAAATTAAATGTTGTATTATGTAGTACTGGTATATTTGGTAACAGCTTTTGTTCCTTCACTAACAGCATGCTTGGCAAGTTCGCCAGGAATTAATAAACGTACAGCGGTTTGAATTTCTCGAGAGCTAATCGTAGCTCTTTTGTTGTGAATTGCCAATCGTGATGATTCAGCAGCTAATCTTTCAAATATATCAGTTACGAAACTGTTCATTATGCTCATGGCTCTACTAGAAATTCCAGTATCTGGATGTACTTGTTTTAATACTTTGTAAATATATATTGCGTAACTTTCCTTCCTTTTTCGTTTTCTTTTCTGATCAGTTTTCCTTACACTTTTTGGACTTTTCACTGCTTTAGACTTGATTTTTAAAGGCATTTTGAATAATACTTCGTACGGAACTTACAAATGATTGACAAATTATAACACAGAGATACTGATAATAATCGCCTTTGACGGTTCGTCAAATCTTGAGTACTACGGGCTCAGTAGACGAGTATATAAGAGATAGAGGACCAATCACCGTGGATCAGAGAAATTCTCGTAAACTATTGGTTTATGGTTGCAACAATTATGGACATATAAAATTTCAAATTGTGGTGGCTTCTTAATTAACTTTAGAAAAGTAATTCCCATAAATACAGTACATCTATTGATAAATAGACCTTATCTATAAGTATAGTGAATAGATAAGATGATTCGGACGTATGTTTCCTTATCTACTCACTTGATTTATAAAAAAAAAGGAAACACGAAAGAAAGAATCTATAAGAATGTATATAAGTTCTAAAATCTAACTTATGGTTTCTTTTATTTTCTTTATCAGCCTAAAATAAGTAGGCTTATTCAGGCTATTTATAAAAAAAAGTGCTTTCATATTGTAAGAAAAGAAAATAATAAAGGAAAAGAACATGAGATAGAAAGTTGAAGAAAAAAAAAATAAAATAAATGTTTATTAGTACTATCTTAAGTTATTCAAGTTTTTAATACAAGTCATTATTTTTTAATCGTTATTTGCTATAATATTGAATGATTGATTACGTTTATTCCTTTAAAATTTGTATCATAAAAATTTTTAATTCTTTTGCTTTATTTTTTATATCTCTTACAATTCCTTGGGACAATACAAAAGATATCTGGTACAGTCTTTTCCTTAGAAAGATACAAAGTTTATGGTAATTATGAGATTGTCTGGGAAATGAAAAATGTATCTTTTACTTTTACATAGAAAACCGAAAGAATTTTTTAATCAAACCAATATATAGCAGATGTCTGAAACGTAGCAAAGAAGGCAAAGCAAAAGGAAAGGTAAAGTTACATTCTACAATAAGCAATTCTTCAATTTTCTGTTAGTCATATTAATAGGCTTTCATAAAAAAAGATTGAATTTATGTCGAACAAATTAGTGTTCAGTTATCGGATTTACTTGAAATCTTTTATGGAATATCTCACGACGGAAGTGTTGAAATTAGCAGGAAATATTATTTGAGATAAAAAAAGAACTAGAACTATCTCGTTACATCTGCAACTTACCATTCACAAAAATAAGAAATTGAACAAATCAATATTTTGTGTTACAATTGTTTAGAGAGGTGAACTTAAATATTATAAAGTATCAAGGAATATCAATAATCGATAAGAGAAAGTTTACCTGTTACAGCAATGCTATATAATAATTTTTACAAAGAAATAAACTCACCCATGTTTACGTTTACGATTATGGTTGGTTAAAATTCAAATTTTATCACTTTTGTTTGAAACATGTTACGAAATCAAGTTATTAATTAGTAGTAAGATATTTTTGTTTTGTTTATATTTAATAAATAGTAATATACAATGTATATAAGGAACTGAGAAAACATATCTTATTTTATAATGGTATTTTATAATGGTAATTAAATAAATTATATTAAAGTATTGGATTTAAATTCAATTATTTTATTGCTATAGGATTTTGTCATAATTAAGGTTAGGTTTACGTTCAATTCATTTCTTTGTTTTGTAATGACCATCTCTATATACATGTATTTATTATTCTGATACTTATCTTTTGAGTTCTTCTTGAATTTGAATTTTATAAAATTCATTATAATTATAGAATTTTAAATTAACAATAAATAAAGGCAAACATTTATTAATATTTTGCAAAATTTGTCGATTCCTATATTTTTTTTTATAATATTTAAATAACGATTATATTTATTTTATATAGCTTCATTCTTGCATTATCGACGTTCTTTTAATTCTAATCTCTTTTACATCCTAAAATTTTTACTTCTATGTAAAGATATCAATTTGGCGGGAAACGATTACGTCTGTCACGTATTACATAAATAAAAGATAAAATATAAAAATGTAACATAAAAGAAAAATTTACTTTTTTATCAAGTACAAAATACGTTTCATTTATTTGTTGAAACACACTGTAAGAAAAGAATACTTTTATTAAGCTTTTTATGCTATATTTATGTACCGTATATCTAAAGAGGTTAAGTACATATGTATTTATTGATATTCGTAACTTTATAGATTATTATAGTAAATTATATAAATTTTTCAAATCTCTTTATAATTTACAAAATTTTATGTCAGAGATTGACAAAAATTTAATATTGTAAAAAAAAGAATAAATAAATAAATATTAATATTCATATCTAGTTAAATAAAATCTACAATATTACTTAAATATTACTATATGATATGCAATAGTTAATACCGTAAAGTTCTTCCTATGTAATTTAATTAATTTGGGCCCTAATAAGGGCCGTTTTTTCGGTGGTAAGGGAGGGAGGACTTGGTATTTAAGCTCTCTCTCCTCGAATTCTTCTAGCCAATTGAATATCCTTTGGCATTATTGTAACACGTTTGGCATGGATAGCACAAAGATTGGTATCTTCAAATAAACCAACAAGATACGCCTCGCTTGCTTCTTGTAAAGCCATTACGGCAGAACTTTGAAAACGAAGATCGGTTTTAAAATCTTGAGCTATTTCACGAACGAGCCGTTGGAATGGTAACTTTCGGATCAATAATTCGGTACTTTTCTGATATCTACGTATTTCACGAAGTGCAACGGTGCCTGGACGATAACGATGAGGTTTTTTAACCCCCCCTGTAGCGGGTGCACTTTTACGAGCAGCTTTAGTAGCCAATTGTTTTCGTGGAGCTTTTCCACCAGTCGATTTACGAGCAGTCTGTTTGGTACGAGCCATCTTCAAAAATGTAATATACAAAAAACGAATAGAAGATGAAGTACTACGTCAACGTGAACAAAGCGCAAAAGAGGAATATGATATTGCAAAGGAGAAAATCTCCGTATATATATATATATATATATATATATATATATCTATCTTTGAAGAGTCTTATTTCTGATTGGTTCACGATAGACTAGTGGGGGTATAGTACAAACTTGATCTATAAAAAGCGACGCTTCTGCTCGAACAACGTATTCAAGTTATAAGCCTTGGCGTTGTGTGATCGTTTTTGTCTGGTTTTCTTTCTTTGCGAATAAAAGTCAATTAATCATGACTGGCCGTGGTAAGGGAGGAAAAGGATTGGGAAAAGGAGGAGCAAAGCGTCATAGAAAAGTTCTGCGTGATAACATTCAAGGTATTACTAAACCAGCTATTCGTCGATTGGCTCGACGTGGTGGTGTAAAACGTATCTCAGGTCTGATATACGAAGAAACACGCGGTGTTCTTAAAGTTTTCCTTGAAAACGTCATTCGTGATGCTGTTACGTATACTGAACACGCTAAAAGAAAAACCGTCACTGCCATGGACGTCGTTTATGCTTTGAAAAGACAAGGCAGAACTCTTTACGGATTTGGAGGTTAAAAAAGAAAATTGCTCGTTCAATCGGCCCTTTTCAGGGCCACAGATTTATTTTACAAAAGGAAAAACAATATATCGTTTCATAACGTTAAAATAATTTGAAAAATTACATTGTTGACTATTCTTTTTTTTATATAGAATCGTAGTTTTAATTGTAAATTTGATTTTGCATTTATTTATTTTAATGTTGTACATTCGATATAATTTAATTATTTCGTATCACATTTGTCACATTATATATATATATATATATAAATGAAAATGAAAATGAAAAAAAGTATTTTATTCCGAATTTATCACATCTATTAGATCTGTATTAGATCGGATTCGCGTTCTTCTAACGCGTCTATGTATCGATGAGTATATTAGGTCGTCGATTGTTCGATAACCTTCGAGCGCCCTTCCTGCAGATGGTGCTGACGCGTGCAGAACTTATTACGTTTATTTTTCTTGATTTAATTATAAGAAATGTAAAAATATATATCTAAAGATATTAATATCAACTGTTGCCGTTGATCAAAGTTCACTTTTCAGCAATATCGTATAATTTAATTTTCAATTATCCATGAACAGTGCGTGAACAAAGAGATCGTAATTTTACAAGACAGTGTATGTAAATGAAACTCATGCATTTTATAAATTCGTATCGAATCGCATCAGTTGCATTCCAAGTTGCATCGTGAACAATAGTTATCATAATGAAGCAGAAATGCATCCTAATATTTTCCGTGATAATATTTTTCCTATCGCCATCGGCGTTACAGTTAAAATTATTGAATCGATTTCACATAGCGCAAATGAAAAAACGAAATTATATTAATGAAAATGGCGCGAAATATAAATACGAGATTAAAACGTTCGAAGTCCCAGTAAGTGATGAATCATCGATTATATTTTGTATACAGATAATTTATTGGAGATGTATTTTGAACGAGAAAAAAAAATATATATATACTCATTTTGTTATACGTTTCACAGGTAGATCATTTTAGCTTTGCTGTGAAAGATAAATTTAATATCAGATATCTCGTCAATGATACATGGCGACAGGGAAACAATGCACCTATTTTCTTTTATACAGGAAACGAAGGTGATATAGAAGTATTCGCCGAAAATACTGTAATTATGATACCTTATATTTCTCGATCGATCTTATTTGTTTTTCTTTTCAATCTTTTTGTCAACAAAATTGACAAAAAATGTTTTCTTTTTTCTTTTAGGGCTTTATGTGGGAAATAGCACCCGAATTCGGTGCTATGGTAATTTTTGCCGAACATCGATATTATGGGAAGTCAATGCCATTTGGAAATAAATCTCTGGTTGATCCTGCACATTCGGGATATTTGACGTCACAACAAGCCATCGCGGATTATGTCGATCTGATCGAATATTTGAGATCAAATGAGATTAGAAAGCACAGTCCTGTTATTGTCTTCGGTGGTTCTTATGGCGGTATGCTTAGTGCATGGATGCGTATGAAATATCCGCACATTGTCCAAGGGTATGTTATCAAAGAAATAACAAGAAAATGTTTCATATTTATTTTAGATAGGGGAACAATATTTTCTAAAACATTATCTTACCTTGTAAACCTCATAGAGATAATTCTTTCACGGTAAAGTCTTACGATTAACGTAAAAATTTTACTTGTAATTTGTAACCGGAGAATTGCGTTTATCGCATTAATAAAAAAGTAAAGTTTCTTATTATCCTTTCGTTATAAGCATTTAGTTTTAGGAATTATTCATTATTAGCTTTTACGAAAAATTTTTTAGTCACATTAACTGTATATAAATACATATGTATGTATTTATAGAGCCATTGCAGCATCAGCTCCAATTTTGCAATTTACCGGTGTCTCTTCTTGCGAATCTTTTGCACGTATAACAACATCGAGTTATCGTGCGGTCCATGATACATGTCCGAAATTAATACGAAGATCATGGAATGTAATAAAGAATCTCACATCGAACGGTAAGCTAATAAAGATATTTTTCCTTTTTTTTATTCCATTTTTTTTGGGTCGAAAGAAATTATGACTTCATGTTTTTATTAATAGACGAGGGCAAGAAATGGTTGTCAGAAAACTGGAAATTATGTCATCCGCTTACAAATTCAACACACGTTGAAGAATTACTGGCTTTCTTGGAAGATGTTTATGGAACTATTGCAATGGTCAATTATCCGTATGAAACCAATTTTATAGTACCATTACCTGCTAATCCTGTTAAAGTAAGATGAGATATTTATGGCAGTGATTACAAAAATGATCTGACAAAAAATATAAGGCATAGATTAATATTATGATATTAATTTTTTGCTTCTACGTTCTTTCCAGGTTTTCTGTAGTCATTTATCAAATAAGACCCTAACTGGAAAACCGCTGTTAACAGCATTGTATAAAGCGTTAAATATTTTCACAAATTATACTGGCCAAATAAATTGCACAGATACAAAAGACGCTTCAGGAAATTTAGATGCACAGGCTTGGGTTTATCAAGCATGTAGCGAAATATTAATAAATATTTGTAGCGACGGAGTGAATGACATGTTTCGATTTGAGCCTTGGGATATTAAAAAGATAAGCGAGGATTGTTTTAAAAAATGTGGTATACATTCTGATCCATACATGGTTTGTAAAGAATATGGGTGTAATGATCTTTCAACAGCGACCAATATTGTCTTTAGGTAAATTTAATGGTTAAATAGTGTAACTAATCTGATATACAAGAAACTAATCACTTTTTATTTAGCAACGGATTATTGGATCCATGGTCAGGTGGTGGTGTGTTATGGAATTTGTCTTCTTCTGCAACTGCTGTGATTATTCCAGAAGGTGCTCATCACATTGACTTAAGAGGTAGTGATCCTAGAGATCCTTATAGTGTTATACTAGCAAGAAAATATCATCGTTATTATATAAAACGGTGGATCAAGCAATACAAGCAACAGATATATAGAATACTGGTAACATAATTATATAATTTTTCTTTTCTTTTTAATACTATTTTATTGCGAGTGATTTTTTAAATAAATTATAAATATATATATATATATGTATATATGTATATATATATATATACGTATGTATATTTGTCATCATTAAATTTTATTTTTCAAATTATAAATACAAAGGCAGCATACGCAGATAATTATAATTGTTAAAATCTAGTTGTTGTGATTCTTATATTATTTGTAAATAAAGTGCAGAAAAAAAAACATTCAAAATAATATAAGCGTTTCTTTATCACAGTACTTAATAAATGCATCATAAGTAACTACAAAAGATTAAAGAGCATAAAAATTATGTAAGAATAAATCTAGTTAGTGTCTTAAAGCATTGACAATTCAGGTTTGATAATTGAATGGCTCTATAATTTTTCTTTTTTTATTTTTATTCGCGTATATTTCTTTTTTTCGATCAAAAATATATATTACTTGTTAGAGCCGCTATAATTCTATTATTTTTATCCAATGGTTTTATACGATACATTATATTAAGACAGAGATGAACATTGATTGATTAAGACACAGGGACAAGAGACAACTTTATACATTAAATTAATAAATTAATAAGAATCTGTACCAAGTTTACAATGAAATCTTGGTATTGTGGGATTAATATGTCTCAGAGTATTTTTCACATACACGCAGACTTTATCAAGACGTGTTGTTTATCAAAATCTCTATATGATGATAATGTAAAAACATGTAATAAATTTTTTAGCTGTTCTTAAATATTTTGACATGCATCAAATATCCTACTTGCCTTTGAGGCATGATATTTTAGTTTTTATTTCTAATAACACAGGTACTGTATGGTACATACTTTTCTTCTCTATAATTATTTTTCTTTTGGAAATTATCTGTGTCAAATACTATAATAAAAGAGAAAGATATTGCATATATTGAATTCAGTACTCATTTACGTTTCATTATTTGGTCTGCATCTTGCAATGTAGATTGCATCACAGAAGAAATATGTAACAATTTTATACTTACAATTGATGTACATAAAAAATTTAAAAAGGTTAATTAAAATTGAAAAAATTTATAGAAATAACAAGGGACAATATAGAATGTGTTTGATCATCATTAATATCATATTCTAATAAAAAATTTTAATGTTAATTTGTAAAAGAATATTTAAAAAAATATTCATTATGCATTTATCAATAAATTTGATAAAAAATTCTTCAAAATAATTCTTCAAAAATAATTTGAAGAAAAGTATAATTATAATAATACATAAGAATATCACTGTACTATTGCATGAAGCACACATTGAGGCGACTCTTTTTATGTATTCTATATAGCAATACTTCTGATTAAGTTGAAAAGCCACCTCATATATATGTGCTACAATGTGCATAAGTCCTCATTAGAAATTATCACATTTAATAAAAAATAAATAAATAAAATCATTACTACTTATTACAAAAAGTATTTTAGAAAGGCTAAGTAAGATTTGAAATATAATTATTATTATTTCACAACCTAATATTCTTTTAATGTGGTATATGTCGATGAGCTGTAGTTGGTCGTGGTACACCCGAGCGACTTCTTACCTTTTTCGGTTGTATGAATGTACTATCTGTTCTTGTATTATATGTAAGATATATATTTGACATATCTGGTTGAATTTGCTATAAAAATAAAAATAAATTTAGATAAACCATCCAAAACAATTGCAATAAGAAATATCATTAAACAACTTACATCTCTGTTATTTCCAATAGGTGGTATTACTTGTGCTTTCCGCATATTATTACCGGTGTATGCTACACACTTTAATTGCCATTCGCCGATATCATCGTTCCAATGAACATATCTTTCAATCATAGTCTGTGATATATAAAATCAACTCATTAAAATAATTACTTAAACCTTTCAATTATTATATATTTATAACATTATATATACATACTTGATACTGCAAAGGTATATAGTTATTCACAATTAATTCTTGAAGTTGTAATTCTCTTCCAATACCTCTAACTCCTTCTAAAAGACCTTCCATTTCTCTTTGGTGCTCCTGTTGTAAATCAGACAACTCAGCTTTAACAGACATCAGCATTGTATAAACTCTAGTTAATTTTTTAGTTTTTCCAGCTGCTTCCTCCTGTAAAGAGGAATACTTTTCTTCTATATCGATACGTTCTGCTTCTTTTTCTTCTATAGCTTTCTTTAATTGTTCTTCTCGACTTTTACGTTGGTCAAGTTCAATAGCTGCAGCAGCTAATAATTGTTCCTGAGCTTCAGCTTTTTCTAATAAATTTTCACCACCGACCAATATCTTATTTTGTAAATTCTGCATTTTTTCTCTTAAGGCTTCTTTTTCACTTCTATAAAATAGAAATTTTCATTAGCTAGTACATTATTCTATGCCTTTTTTATACTTACTGTGTCCTTTTTAATTCGATAACATCTTTATCATCTGGACTTTTGTCATCTCTTTCTGCTTTATCTACTTTTTCTGTATTTACATCTCTGTCACCTAATTCTTCCATCGTTAACATTTGACTTCTTCTGTGTTTTGCTTTTTTCTCACGTCGCGGTTCTCCTGTGTCTTCTGAATCTTCCGTTTCAGATTCTGTTTCTGATATTTCTGTTCCATTTTCTTCAAGCTGTTTTCGTAACTGTTCAATCTCAACTTGAAATTGACGAAGTAAAGCATCTTTAGGATCTTCATTTATTCTTGCTCTATTCTTTATATTCTTGGCACGATTAGCGTAACGTAGTGTGCTTATCGTTTCATCATAATTTATATCAGCAGGGCTTACATTCGCACACTAAAGAATTACAGAATTAGATTTTCACATGTATAATGTTATATGGAATTTTTCATTTATTTTAAGTGAAACAATTAATAAATACATGCCATCAACGTTTTAGAATTACCACCCAAAGAGTCCTGAAGCAATCTTGTCAACTTTGAATTTCTGTAAGGCACATGAGAGCTTTGCCCATCAACAAGAGCAGATATTACATTACCCAATGTTGATAATGATAAATTAATTTTGGTAGCTTCTCTAAGTCTTACTCCACTTGCTTTTGTTTTACTTTGTCTTTCAGAACCCTACAATATAATCACATTATTATATATTTTCTTAATAAGATATTAGATCAATTATAAAAGTTATGTACAGCTAAATCCACTAAATGAAGTTTTCCCATTTTAACATGTTGTTCTCCATCTTCACCAAGTTGACTAGATTCAACTGTTATTGTAAATATAGCATGAGATCTAGAGCTAGAGACATTCATGGCAGTTGCTCCTACGACACCTACAAAAAAATATTTCCATTTTGTTGTAATGTTTTATTCATATTTTAATGTTTTATTTTTCAGTTGAGAAACATCATACTCACGATTTTTATTGCCAAGTGACATGATACGATCTAAATCATCTGCATTATTTACGACATAACCACTAAGATCCTTTACAAATACTCCAATGTCTGGTCGTTCTTTGACCTCTAATCGACTGGTTTGATCCTTACCGAGAAGATCTCTTACTTCTTCATTATAAATTTCCAAATATGTTGCACGTACAAGGAATCTGTAAATACAGATACTGTAATATATTGAATACTATTATGCATGCAAACATTTTATGATTTAACTTACTTTTGATTTTCATCTGCTTTAGCTATGTGTCCAAATATATGTGCAAAGGTATTTGGGATAACACCTCTAAGCTGAGGAGGAGTTTTTGCACCTGACATAGTATATGTTTTACCGGTACCAGTTTGACCATATGCAAGTATAGTTCCATTATATCCTTGTAAAACTTTATCAACGATAGGTCTTGCAGTTTCATTATAAATATCAACTTGAGTAGAATCGGTGTCAAAGACAGCATCAAAGGAGAAAACTTTTGGTGGTTCACCTTGAAGTGCATTTGGATTTTCGATAGTTATTTCACTGTTTAACGCGTCCACTTGTATTATATTTTTGCAGTGTCCGTCCAACTCCTTTCCATTTAATGGTCGAACACGAACAACAACTCTGACATTTTCTATCTCTCCTAATTCTGTGATATTATCCTGAATAAAAAAAAATTGTATATTATATAATTTATATATTATAGCACAAGAAAATATCACAAAGAATGTGACATTTATGAGAGAATAAATTTGGTAATAGGTAAGACATAATATAATTTAATATTTTTAATACTAAATAAAAAAAGAAAAAATAAACTTATATATAAAACTTAGTAATATGTGTGTAAATATTAATTGATCAGTTATATTTATCATCTTTTGTCTTTTTCCAGCCAGATTCGAGAATATCACTGCTGTCAAATTTTGACGCGACAAACGTCAAACGACAAACGCAATTATCTAGCTGAGAATATTCATTATTATTAATACGTATATGTGCATTATGAAGAAATATACTAACTCCCGTTCCCGTCATTGCAGTACGGTTGATTTACTTGGAATGATTACATAAAAAGAACAATTTAAAGCATGGTACTTTATTCTCAAAACACCTCGGACTAAGCGAAAAGACTAGCAGACAACCTCCGTAAACAAATGGATCGATCTGTGTGGTTACAGAGCTGCGAATATACGCATGACAGATGACGTCATGCTGTAAATTCCTAGAGAAAACACTGAATCCCCTAGATTATTATATCGCTCATTTTATTTGAATGATATATTACAAATAAAAAAAAAAAAGAGAGAAAGAAAAACATAATAAAAATAATAAAACAAATATATATTCGAGAGTTTAAAGAATTAAGGAATAAATCGATTTAATCAATCGTATAATTCAAGATTCTTTGATCAAAGGACACGTGGCATTCAATGTATTTTTCGATCATCTTATATCCCTTTCAATGAAAAATCTTTTCATTTTAAATTTAAATTGATTTTATTAAAAATGCAAACTTTAACGATAAACTTTTTTGTTTATTATTTTCAGGCTGTTATAAAACATGCTTTCCAATGCAAATATCAAAATGGTATTATTCTTCTTCAAGCATCTATCTATAACTATCACGAGATACCGATTGTTAACTATTTTGATTGAATGATTACATTACATTACATTATATAAACAAATCCAAATGTAATCTCTTTACTTTTGTAACAATTTTCGTTACTTATTAAGTTCGTAATAATTAACGAATAACATCGATGATACCCAATTTATAGAGGCAATTATAATCGAGTGAAACTAGTATGCAGACACACCCAGGACAATGGGGAGCATAAACCCTCTTTTTCTTTCTCTTACACTCTCCCTATTTCTCTCTCTCTCTCTCTCTCTTTCTTTCTCTTTTTCTCTGTTTTTCTCTCTCTTTCTTTCCTCCCCTTTCCTGTTTCTTCTACGCAGTACAAGGCAACCCCCTTCCCCTGTTAGCTTCGACGTGCTCGTTTGAAGCGGTGCAGCTGACGATGGCAACAATACATTCCCCATGAACGAGAACACTATGCTTCCATGGGACTACAGAAGAATATTGCGAACCCCAACTAACGTGCAACGTTACTTGTTGGATCATTCACGTCTCGTTGTTAACTAAAAGACACGACCTTCTTCTTCTTCTTCTTTTTTTTTTTATTTTTTCTATTGGAATAACGTGCGAAAGGTGAGATCGATGTTCTTTGATGTAATTCATTTTTATTTTATTTCATCTTAATTTTTTAACTTCTACGAATTCGAGACAATGGGTTACAATTTTATTTCTCCGTTTTGAAATAAAACGAAATTTGTTCTTCAATTTCATTTCTCCATTAGTAGTATCGATTTTAGTGATATATTCAAGATTGAATTAATCATTCTACGATCAAAATCGTAGCGGAAAAGATAAAGGAAAAGAAAACAATTAATTGACATTAAGAAAACGGTAGGTAAATCGATCAAATTCAATTTGATTTAATGAATATTTTCTGATATATATAATTTCGATGTGTTTCTTGTTTTATACAGAATATATAAAAAAATGTGTGAATGGAAAGCAAATGCATTGAACCATGCCACCACAACCGTTTCATATTCTCTTAATTCTTATGGCTTCTGACAGTATTTCCGTAACTCCGTCAACCCCTTCCGAAGATAGAGAATACTTCCTTCTTAGTAGTGCATCATGTATATTCATGAAACGTTTCATTAGTGCTACTTGACTACTGAGTACAAGGAGAAATGAAAACCTTAAAGCTTAAGTAAGTAGGTATCTCGTGATTAGAAGTAACTAATTCCAAGACTCGACAATCTTTGCGAGTACTTTCACGTACGTACGATATATAAATATTTTTAATATTTCATTTACATCGTTTCGAAAGTTTGTAACGATTTGTGAAATTCTATTTTTTTTCTCTTATCAAAATTTATGAATCTTATTTATTGATAAAAAGTTATTTATCGTAACAAATTTATTAAACAACTGATCGGATACAGATCGATCATGAAATTGCTTATTAAGTAAAACAAAAAAACAAAGAAACAAAAAGGAAAAACTATGGAACGACACGAAACGAATATCTTATTTGTCGTTTTAAATATTTCTTCATTCTTCAATTTCAGATAATATTGTGAATATGTGAGTTTCATTTGTTACATGATTCGAATACTCTATCTAGCGACACTAGGATTATTATATTGCGGTAATCATACCAGAAAAGTCGGAGAAGTACAAAAAGAAAGCAACTAGTGATAGACATGAAGGGAACGAGTTAATCAAGCTATTTTGTGTGTGTGTGTGTGTGTGTGTATGTGCGCACGTACGTGTATATGTCAGTGGTGAAAAAGAGAAAGAAGTAGATGTACAAGAAGGGGACACTGGAAGGTGAAGGAAAAGAGTTGAAAGAGGACAACGGCAAAGAAGAAGAAGAAGAAGAAGAGGAGAAGGAAAAAGAAGAAGAAGAAGAAGAGGAGAAGGAAAAAGAAGAAGAAGAAGAAGGAAAAGAAGAAGAAGAAGAAGAAGAAGAAGAAGAAGAAGAAGAAGAAGAAGAAGAAGAAGAAGAAGAAGAAGAAGAAGAAGAAGAAGAAGAAGGGAACAGTTTGGAACGGAGAAGTTCAGTTAGTCGGTTCTCTTTCCTCTCTCTTCGTAGTGGCAGGTCAGTGTTGCCGCGCTCGTGGCCAAGAACAGCCGTGTTTTCTGAACTCGCTCGTTATCTGTCTATCTATATATTTCTCTTTATCTCTATCTCTATCTCTATCTCTATCTTTTTCTTTCTCGATCTCTCTCTTTTACTCCCTCTATCTGTTTCTCCCTCTCTCTATCTCTTTCTCTCTCCATCTATTTTTTATTTTATTTCGTTGTTTCAATAGAAAATACAAAAAGTGTGTCATGTAACAGCTCTTTGAACCGATACAAAGCTAATAACGATCGTGGAGATATGACCATTGGAAATTCAAAATCGGCGCTCAGCGCAAACATCGGAGATACACATTCACAAGGAGGAACATGAAGACGTGAGAGGATACGAGGTAGGTTTATGCGACCGCGCACTTAGATTCACTCATTTTATTGGACAGTAAAAGTATCTCGAAAAATGAAAAAATGATCCGTGTATCTTTTTTTATTTTTCTTTGAACGATATGTTTTTCTTTCTTTCTTTCTCTCTCGTTTTTTTTTATAGATTATTTCGTACATAAGGAAAATCTTTTTTTAATATCAACTTATTATTACTATTATTAATATGGAAGAAAGTGATTTATCGTCGATCTATCGAACATCTTAAACCCTTTGATCGAGAGATTGACGGTAGATGGAGAGGTAGAATGTCGGATCTGAAAGGGAATTCCGTGCTTTACGATCGGCGCGATCCGCATCTCGCGGTTAACTTCTAAAGGATAACGTGTCAATCAATCTCTCTTTCGTAGTTCGTTTTCGTATTGTTTCTTTTTCATTTGTTGTTGTTGTTGTTATTTTTTTTTGGCGACAAGTTTCATTCCTATAAAGATGATTATACGTTGATGACAAACGATTAAGATCTGTTTAAATTCATTCGATGAATTACTTATTTGAATTGAATTATGAATTATTATATATATATATATTTTTTTTCTCTGTGATTATTTCTCTGCGTTATTATATTTTAGAATAGCTCATTGACAATTGATAAATAACACATAGATGCATTTATCTTAGAAATCTTCAAAGAGATAAGAAAAGAAAGTCGTCGATGATTACGAGCGCTTTAAGTTTTAATCCTTCTTCGATAATCTTCTTTTCAGTATTCTTATCTATATGTATCATTTCTACTATCATTAAACGAAGAGAAGCATGATGTCGATGAAACATCACGATGCATGCTGAAAATGAGGTTTATGATTCGTCCTAGTACACGTGCGGTTCAATAATAAATACGAGGGACCCGTCAATATGGACAATCAATATGTTTCTCTTTTTTTCTTTCTCTCTCTTTCATTCCCCTCCTTCTGCTTTTCTCCCACTCACTCTCTCTCTCTCTCTCTCTCTCTCTCTGTCTCTCTCTGTCTCTCTCTCTTTCTTTCGAATTTATTTGATCTACGAAGTAACGAGATTTTGAAATGAAATGATCCGAGTACGAGGCTTGTTTGTTTTTGAAAAGCTCGTGTATATCTCGTTAATCCGGTGACACACGAATAATAATAATAAGAAGAAGAAGAAAAAGAAAAAAAAGAAAAAGAAAAAGAGAAGCTTCATCGACTTCCTTCGAACTCGAACTCTGTGTAAATATGTTAATGAGAATAGAATAGGAAGCTGTCCGAAGGCTGTCGATTCTCTCTCGACAAAAGCGGAAACAGGTTCTCGAAAGGTTTACTAACGCGTTCCGGACTCCAAACTATCCTTTTCTTCTCTCTCTTTCTCTTTTTCCTTTTTTTTTTCTTCCTTTCTTTCTCTTTTTTTTTCTTAACATATATCTACCTGCATTTGAGACAACACTTGGGATAGTTTTATTCACGAGAGCAGGAATATCTTTTCTCATCGTAGGTACTCTTGACGTTTTTAGTCGAACTAGGCACGTGTGAGGAGTTCAAAGAATTTAACGACATCGCTTGCATATTTAGTTTTTTCTAGGTATCCTCTCTCCCTCTATCTCCTAATGTATGTATGCATGTATATATGTATATATAGAATATATTCGTGTTACAAACTGTTCAGGGATCTTAAATATTCCAATAAAGTTTTTATTGACTTTTTTCTTGTTCGATAATATCAAGATAAAATCGGTACCGTATTCATTTTACGGATATGAATAAAAGGATGTATTTTTATATATTCATTTTACAAAACATGATTACGTTGTAATAGCTGTTGGTTTTATATGGTAAAACGTTATGAGAAAAAGAAAGAGAAAGAGAAGGAGAGGGGGGGGGGCAAAGAGAGAAAGAGTGAAAAAGAAATTAAATATTAATCGTACAAAACTATTTTATTTCAACGAATGAAACTTTTATCTGTCTCTCTCTCTCTCTCTCTCTCTCTCTCTCTCTCTCTCTCTCTCTTTCTCACACACACACACACACACATTTTACACGGTTAAAAATTTTTCTAGAAATGTGAGTTTTATAAAGAATTTGTTTAAATATCGTTAGATAAAACAATTCAAGTAC